AAAACTACTCTTCATTTCATTTTTAAGGCTCAAAATTTCTCGCTTTTACATTATCAAACTACTATAATTTAACATTATCATTTACAAATAGCATGCATACTTACAAATGCTTGCTGCTTGCATAGAACCATCAACTTTTACTTTGACAGCATAGTAATATATATATATATATTTGATTACTACACAATTTTTCTTTGCTGTCATAGTCACATGTGTGGAGGAGCAATCTTATCAATTATAACAGTAAAGCTTTACTACTACGTGATACATTTATGCATTATTCCCTTCACAGCCTCTAAAACTTGCATTGACAACTACATATGCCTATATAGGCACCCACAAAGACACACACACACACACACATATATATATGTATCTTGCCACATATTATCATCAATTACAACTCCATTACACATCCTTTTAGTATCTCTCTTATGGGTATGACCCATCATCAATCCTAGACTATCATGCTAGGACCGTGTCTTTATATCACTATATTTCTTTTCAACTAGCTCATACGTTGATCTACAACATTATATTAATATATATATACACACACACACATATATATATATTCATTTTTTTTATATATAACTATCATCTTATCAATGATGAGGCTTTCGACGAGCCCTTATCTAAATATTGAACAACAAATCTTCCATCCTCGATCGAGTTCCCACTACCTCTCAATACATGTATCCATATATACCTACTCGAATATGATTTCTACTACTAAATTGATCTACACAAATGTATCACATGACATGGCATTGACCTATTACCATCATTTTGTACCTTACATATTAATGTTCCCCGGTGCATGTTCGCATCGCTCACGACTGTTATAACTGGTCACACTGACAAACTAGTCAATACATTGAACTTCTTTCTTTCTCATCACTTTGACTATCTAAAAATATATATAAATATGCACACACATTTATCGATTTACTTTATGTGCACATGCATATTTATATATAATTCTATATACATGTACTTGTCAATCGACGGACCTAGAGCCTCGATTTGACTTAGACATTGAGCGCCCAGAGCCTCTATCCCAATACCACATTTAGTCAATCAACGGACCCAGAGCCTCGATCTGACTTGGACGTCGAGCGCCCAAAGCCTCTGTCCCAATGCCATGATTAGTCAATCAATGGACCCCGAGCTCAATCTGACTTGGACATCGAGCGCCCAGAGCCTCTGTCCCAACGTCACAATTAGTCAATCGACAAACCAATAGCCTTGATCTGACTTGGACATCGAGCGGCCAGAACCTCTGTCTTAATGTCACAATTAGTCAATCGACGGACTAATAGTCTCGATCTGACTTGGACATTGAGCGCCCAGAGCCTCTGTCCCAATGCCACGATTAGTTAATCGATGGCCCAGAGCCTCGATCTGACTTAGACATCAAGCACCCAGAGTCTCTATCCCAATGCCATGATTAGTCAATCAATGGACCCTGAGCATCGATCTGACTTGGATATCAAGCGCCAAGAGCCTCTGTCCCAACGTCATAATTAGTCAATCGACGGACCCAGAGCTTCGATCTAACTTGGACATCGAGTGCCCTGAGCCTCTATCCCAACGCCTTGTTTAGTCAATTGACAGACCCAGAGCCTTAATCTGACTTGGATAACGAGCGCCCTGAGCCTCTGTCCCAACGCCTTGTTTAGTCAATCGACGAACTCAGAGCCTCGATCTGACTCAGACATCGAGTGCCCTGAGCCTCTGTCTTAACACCATGATTCGTCAATCGACGGACCCAGAGCCTCGATTTGACTCGGACATCGAGTGCCCAGTACCTCTGTCCCAACACCATGATTAGTCACTTGACGGACCCAAAGCCTCGATTTGACTTGGACACGAGCGTCCAGAGCCTCTGTCCTAGCATCATGCATAGTCTAGCGACAAACTCAAAAAGCTCAACGGGTCACGTGCTCAGGTCATTACCCCTAGCATCCATACCCGGTTATCCAAAATCTCGACGGGCCAGCCCCGAGTCATCTAACCCTGGCATCCAAACCAGGTTACCAAAACTGGACATCAACTGACACAAACCTCAAATGTACCAGCAGTCGATTGATGGATACAATATCTTGATTTGCCTTCCCCAAATTGGATACACATAATTTTTCGCACAAATAACCTGCTTTCTATAATGTTCACCGGCGCAGGGGGGCTACCCTACTATTGGTACCTGTATATTTGTGGTCCATATGATAGCAACATATCATTAATAGATGGCCACTACCTCAACATAGAATCAAGCATGAAATCATCGAACAACCTAGAGCCTCGAACGAACTATCATAACATTTAAATTAAATAACCTAAAGCATTGGTCAAACTTCAGAACACTCACCCGAGATGAGATACCTTATATGGAGACATGCTTTGCTGCTTAAACGCCTCTTTCATAAATTTTATTTTTTCCTTTAGGAATCTCGAAAGATTCCTCATTTTCTTTTACGATTACAACATATCATTTTATGCCCGACTAACCTTCTACTTTCAATAAAGCTCACTCGTGCAAGGGGACTACCCTACTGTTAGTACCTGTATATTTGCGGTCCACATGATAGCAACATATCATCAACAGATGGCTACAACTTCAACATGGAATCAAGCCTGAAATCATCGAGCGACCCAGAGCCTTGAATGAACTATTATAAAAGTTAATCAAGTGACCTAGGGCATCAATTAGACTTCACCATTCGAAGTCCATCGAGCAACCCAGTCCCGAACTGTCATTAGTCGATCGACGGATTTCTCCTCAATCCGACTTCCATCGAGCAACTCATAACACTCACTAGTCGATCGACGGATTTCTCCTCGATCCGACTTCCATCGAGTAACTCATAACACTTACCCCAGATGAAATGCCTCATCTGAGGACACACCTTGCTGCTTAAAACTTTTTCTTATAAATTTTTTTCCTTTTAAGAATCTCAAAATATTCTCTCTTTGTTTATACAATTAACATCATTTTTATGCCCGACTAACCTTCTACTTTCTATGAAGTTCACTGGCGCAGGGGGACTATTGTTGATACTTATATTTTGAGTCCATATGGTAAACGCCACATCATCAACAATGGCCCACACAGCTTGGTCAAAATAGTCAACGAGCTACGCCATATCAATAACGATGGCCCACATAACCTGGTCAACGGTCAAAGTTGCCACGGCATCAACATGTTTCGAATAGAAGAACGAAGACCTGAGTTGGGAGCAGGACTTAGGATTCCCTGGGATCTGAGGAGGTTTTGGTTTGGTGGTTGAAGTCCAGGGTTCGCCGAGTCGACACTCAGCCTGACTTGCAGAGAGAGAAATACCATTTTGACTCCTAAGCATTTGACTCCATCTTATTTAACATTGCTTTATAATTATTTGATAAATTAATTTCTTTTAATTATTTTGTTAATGGACCACATGTGATGTCATCAATGACATCACCCACCTTCACTTGGCCTATAAAAGAAAATGACCTAAGGCCAAGAAGGGGGTAGACACAAGAGGGAGGAAAATTCCTCCTAGACCGAGAGCTCTAAGCTCGCTATCTCTCTCTCTCTCTCTCAAATGAGTTCTCCACACAACCCCTAAAAGATGGATCAAGGAGTCAATGGTGTTTTTCATATACATTGCCATCCCTCTCTCTCTTGTTTATCTGGCCTTCCACCTCTCTCAATTCACCTCGGATTGCATCATGTTGCAAGATTTACCTGCATCATGTTGCAAAATTTACCTCACCATTTGTTATTTTGTGATGATCTGGAACCCACCTGAAAATCAGGTACCTACAAAAACTAAAAAACACATTTATTTAAATCCATATTTTCTCTTTGTTCTTATTTTTCATTGCTAACATTCAATTTACAATAACTTGAGCTCCGTTTGATTGGATGAAATCAGTTAAAAAAAGAAAATAAATAAAAAAATTTAATTTTTTTTTAGAGTTTAGATATAATGAAAAGGAAAAAAAATTAAGATTCTTTCAAACAACTGCAAACCACCCACAATTATTATTTTTCAGCGGCTTGTAAACAACGGCAGATTTGGGATTAAGGTGATAAAATAACGCAGCCCATGCTGCTAGCAGGGTCACTCCTCAATCAAATAATATTATGGTGATGGGAGTCTATCCATCCAAACTAAGTATTAGGATCCCTGGTTTTCAATTCTTGTTTTGGGTCTTAGTGCTTGTTCTGTTTGTTTGAAATAAAAAAATACCGTATATACATATATAGTTAAAATAATATCGATTGCACTCTCAAAATTAATTTTTATTTTTTTTCTATTTAGAAGGTTAGCACGGCACACTCTTATCATATTTATACAATCTCAGTAGCTATTTCTTTGTTGACCTAAATGTTGCTTACAGTTTTTATCACGTAATGAAGTAGGGGTATGTTTTGTGGTTTGAAGGATAAGGACCAGTGAATATAATAAGGGTAATTTAAGTAAGTATATATATATATATATATATATATTTATAATTTTTATGCTATGATGATATTTTTCCATAATTTTCTTAAAAAATAATTCATACTAATTAAATGAATGTTAGAAAATCAATTCTTATTATTATTTTTTATTTCACTTTACTTTATTTTCTTTTCACTATTATTTTCAATTTAGATATTCTAACGCAAAAAAAAAAAAAAAAAAAAAAAAATTCATACAAATTAATTAAAGATTGCCTGTTCAATTTAGTCAAATTAAGTCAAAATACCCTAATTTCGGTAATAAAATGAAAAATTATTAGATCATTCTAATATTTGGTGGACCAATTATAAATACATTATGGAATTGAAAAAATAATCCTACAAAAATATATTAATAAATTATAAAATAGAGTGAATTCATTTGGTGTAAGCTCAATATCCTTTTGTGAGTAGATGGAGGCACGTACCCATTGAGACCTCATGCTCCACACATATAGCAAATCCGACCCTCCTTGCTTGCTATTTTTTTTTAAAGCCGGACTTGTAGACTAGAAACATTTCGCTGCATAAAATATACATATAAAGTATACTCTCCCGAGCTTACAGACAAGAGAAAGAGGGAGAGTGGAAGGATTTCTAGTGAGAGAGAGATGGAGAAGTTTGCAGAGCTGAGAGACGCGGTTGACAATGTGGAGCTAGTGGACGGCCACGCGCACAATATCGCCGCCATAGACTCCACCGTCCCTTTCCTCAACTGCTTCTCTGAAGCCACTGGCGATGCCTTATCCTACGCACCCCACACCCTCATCTTCAAGGTACCAAAGCAACACACACCCCCAATCTATCCTGAGTTCCATGTTCACTCAAAAGTTGATTCATATGCTTAATCTGTTACCAATCAATATATACATGATCTGTATATACGTATATAATATCTTTAGTTCACTCCAATAGTATTATATTTGCAAACCACTCTTGATTTAGTTTGGATTTGAGCAAAGCACTATCAACTTAAGATACATTCGTTGCGATATACACATACGTAAATGTGTATTTATGTATCTATATATGAAAAACAAGAACTTAAAATTTATCACAAGTATATTTTAAAGTTTTCTTATAAAGATTTGAATTATATGTAATTGCTACATGATTTCAGAAAAATTGCAATTTCAGATAGGCTATGTTTGGCAGGCGTGGAATTGGAGCTTTGGAATTGGAATTGGTGGAATTAAAGGAAAGCAACTCACAAATTTGAAGCAAAATTTTCTCCAATTTCACCAATCTCAATTCCAGGGCTCCAATTCCATGTTGGCAAACACAACTATAGTTTATTCACGATTCAATGTAGAAAAGAGACATATTTGAATTGCTTAATCAAAATTTTTTCCCCGGAACTATTAACACACTTGATCACTGTAAGCTGTAATAGTGTCTCTTGATAGCTGTAATAATTGATCGCTTAATTGAATTTTTACTCACCAATTAATTCATATGCTTAATCTGTTGGGGAATGCATATATATATGTATATTTAGTTCACTCCAAAGAGTACTATAAGTGTGGATATAAGCAAAACACAATATCTGCTTATTACGCACTCATTGTGATGCACACATACATGTATGTATTTATGTTTCTATGTATGAAAAAAAACAAGAACTGAAAATTTAACAGAGGTTTCAAGTATATTTTAATTTTTGTTGTGATAAATGTTTAAATTATGTAGAAGTACTCATGAATTCAAAAGATCTACGACACGGAAAATTTAATTATGATTCAATGTGTTATCTTGGGCGATGAAATGAATTGAATGAAACTAATTTTTTTAAACATATAATAGTGCCTTTTGAAAGCAATAATTAACGATTCTGATGACAATTAGTAAAGACTTCTGAGTAATGACTTTAATTTCTTTCAAAAATATTGGCTTCTGTAATTTTCCATTATGTGGTTATTGCTTTAATGGTTTTAAACACAAGTAAACTTGGGGTCATGTCACTAATACATTTATGTTTTTGTGCACCTGGCACAGCTGCAATGCATTGAATTTCATTGCCATTTTGCTGTCACATATCAAGATGTTAAACTTTTAATACTTGACTAAATTTAAAAATTTGGTTGTAGAGATTTCAGTCTGACAGTACTGATTTGTGTGTTACAGAGAGGTCTGAGGGATATCGCAGAACTGTATAAGTGTGAGCTATCCTTACATAGTGTTCAAGAATATCGTAAGTGCTCTGGATTGCAATCGATTACCTCAACATGCTTCAAAGCTGCAAAAATCTCTGCCATACTCATTGATGATGGGATTGAGCTGGACAAAAGGCATGACATCGAGTGGCACCAGACATATGCACCATTTATTGGTAGAATATTGAGAATTGAGCGGCTGGCTGAGAAAATTCTTGATGAAGTGAGATACGTTTAATTGTTCGCCTCTAGTTATATAATATCACAATAATTCTGAACATTTTTTTTTGTTCAGTTGCAACTTGCAACTGCATTTCATCTAATATCTGTATATTATAGAGATTTGTAGATGCATTTAATCTGCTAAGCAAACTTTTTTGGGCATCTGCTGATGTTTTGAATAGGCAAAAGTCTTATTTACCATGTTAATTTTGAAAAGTTTCGCAAAACACTCTTGGAGTTCCATTTTCATCAAAAGATAATCCGTATAATATGCTTATGTCTGTATGTACTATGTAGTCACTGGTACTAAAATCTTTGCTCTAGTCATTTTTGCCCGTTTGCTGAGTAAAGTCCAGCACTTTACTGGCTGAGTGTTTTCTAGTGTAGTAGTCTGCTGCACGGTCACTTGTTCAAGTGTAATTTTTTTCAAATGAGCTCCACTATGTAAGTTAAGAAAAAATATGTTTGACTTTGTTTCTAGTATACCCTTACTATCAGTTGATTTGAAAACTAAGACTTTGGATTTCTTCCTATCTCATGTTGTTTATTTATTTATTTATCTTTTTGTATGTTTACCTAGTTGAGGGTATCTCTGACCATATTTTGTACCTACTACATGAGGAAAAATCAATTTTATTCCAACACGAGATCAGTTGTTTGTCTATATTGATTTCATTTTCACTAACATGAGGCTAGAGTAGACCTATAAAGAGATCAGATTCAAACCGAATCAGGCTTGGTCTGATCCAAATCCGATACGGTTATTCTTTTGATTTGGTCCCCATCTGATAACCTGATCTGTTATTTATGAATGAATCCATATTGATTTGTGATTAATCAAATATCTGATCTGTTAAGAGTGTAATCTTTTGTTTTAAAAATTTAAGGTCAAAAGAGATCGGCAAATAATGATTACAAAAAATTTAATTTCAGAATGCCAATCATGTTAGTTAAATGGGTGCAACTATGCAACATCCAAGAAGAAAGCTTTGCAAAAATTTTTAAACCTTCATTTTCTTCTATTTACAGCTGCCACTCATTAGCCTGTATGGTTTAGGATATGATTTCATTTAATCCTTGTGCACTGCAAAGCAGGCAGCCAAACCTAGGTTGATGAGGTGTTAATGACCATAACTCAGTTTACTTATGCGTGTGTGTACACATTAGTAAGATCCTCAAGATCATAATCATCATCATCATTGTCATCATCATTTTTAGTTCGAGATAATTCTCATACTGTTTACTTATCTGCGTATACACATTAGTAAGACCCTCAAGATCATAATCATCATCATCATTTTTAGTTCGAGATAATTCTCATACTTATGTAAACTTGAATTTTTTATTTTTATTTTCTATCTGGTCATCAAGAGTTTTTTGAAAATTATAAAACAAAATCTCAGGCTATCATCTTTATCATTTCTTTAGACTTCTTTTCCATTTAATAAAAAATGAATAAGTTCTTTTATTTTTGTCTTCTTATATAGGGACAACCAGATAGATCTCCATGGACGTTGGACACGTTCATTGAAACCTTTGTAGGAAAGTTGAAATCATATCCTTTCACATTTCTATGAAAATTCTCTGGTTTTATGTGTTATATTGGTATACAAAGAATTGCTCTTTTCCAGATGGTCTCCTTATCCTGTTGTTACAGATGCTGATAAACTTGTTGGCTTGAAAAGCATAGCTGCATATCGCAGTGGCCTTGAAATTAATACAAATGTCACGAGGAAGGAGGCTGAGGAGAGTCTTTTTGAAGTTTTACATGGTGAGTTTAGCAAGTGAAATGGAATTTCATTGTGTTAAAAGTTCACGGCGTGATATTCTAATCAATATGCATTTCCAGCTGGGAAGCCTATCCGCATCACAAGCAAAAACTTCATTGACTATATCTTCACTCGTAGTTTGGAGGTTGCCCTATGTTTTGACTTACCAATGCAGATCCACACAGGGTAACAGATATTTATCATATTTTAAAACTTGTTGAATAGTTTCACTTTATGTTCTTATGATTTCTGAGAAAATATATAAAAAGAAAATGAAGGTCTTTGAATCTTTGAACAGTTTTGGGTTTCTGGTTACTGTTTCAAGATGCAAAATTATCTGTACTACTTATTTATCTCTATTGACTGTGTTTTTTCATCCTTTCTAACCTTAGTTTTGGAGACAAAGATTTGGATTTGAGGCTGTCCAATCCCCTTCATTTACGCAACCTTCTTGAGGACAAAAGATTCTCGAAGTGTCGTATAGTGCTTTTACATGCATCCTACCCGTTCTCGAAAGAAGCATCATATCTAGCCTCCGTCTATCCGCAGGTAAGAGGCTTTTCCATTGAAAAACCTTTTCGACCCGTCTTTGATGTTGAACTTGCTAGTTCCCTAACAAAAGCAATGCCTTCAATTTCAGGTCTACCTTGATTTTGGTTTAGCAGTTCCTAGGCTTAGCTTCCATGGGATGATATCTTCAGTCAAAGAACTTTTAGAGCAAGCTCCAATAAAGAAGGTGAAAGCACATGCACTTCAATAAATACTGGAAAAAGATTGAGCACTCAGTCCACAGACAAGTTTGTCAAATTCAGGGGCAAAAGCTACTGCTTTCGAGCAAAGATTCTGTTTTTGAAACTGACACCATGTGTCATTGGTACATAAACTACAAAAAAGCACCCTAAGATACTAAGTAAATGGTACAAAGGCTCAATTATATTTGCATGCATGTATTAGAAGAAAGTTGAGATAATGTCAAGTATGATAAGAATCATGCCAAAATCTTTTAAAAATTAAATCTTATTTAGGAATAACTCATCATCTTTTGGTACGTAAAACAAATAAGCATTAGTTATATTGATCAAACAGTTGACTTACTTGTGGGAATTTAGTTCTTTTGTATAATTCAACTTGCAGGTGATGTTCAGCACTGATGGTTGCGCCTTTCCTGAAACTTACTACTTAGGTTTGTAAAAATGATTACCAACCATTTTTCTACTCATTTTGGTAACAATGATAATTCTCTTAGAAAGTATATACAGTAGCCAGTGCTTTTTTGTTACATTTTAAAGTTCTTGGATACTTGATCTCGTTTCAACTATGAAGTACACCTTATCTTGTTTAGTAATTATTGCAATTTATTTTATCCTACTTCCTTGCAAGGATGATTATAGGGGCCTAGGTTCCTGAACAGTTAAATTCTTCTTTATTTCCTTGATGTAGTCAATATTGCAAGGAAAAATGAATCTTACAGACAAGATAACGGGGTTGCTGTTTGGTGTAACCTATAAAGTAGAAAAACTTGTCCCCAATAAATATGAAATATCTATAAAATTTAATTTACCAAGACATGACATGGATGATGTCAGAAAAGACAATACAGCCTGAAGGAGATTTGCTTCAGTAGTTAATCCTTCGGGCAAATAGCTGAATTGAAAGATATGATGCCACAACTTATCCATGTACAAGTGAAAATAGAATACAGGAGTATTTAATGAAATGTCTTGGTCATACTGTGTCTCGTTACATTATGCTGGATTCTCTTACATCACGGGATTCATACCACAACCTTTTGCATCTGTATAAATAATTTTTTCTTGTTCTCACTTTACAATGAGGGGTGAAATAACAATGTGGAGACATAACTTAGTCTCTTCACAGCTATCCTGGTTAGTTGCAATGAGATTAGGCATTCTTCTCTAATCTCACAGTTTTCATTAAGTTGGAGTTGTTTAGGTTTTCCTCTTAGGTATTCCGGTTTGTTGCAATGAGATTAGGCATTCTGCTCTGTCTAATCTCACATTTTTTTATTAAGTTAGAGTTGTTTAGATTTTTCTCTTACTACCTCAACCTATAGTTTTTGGTCTTCAATTTTCCTTGAAGTACCTTCCATTGAATGATATGCTTCTCTGGATGGGTGTACTTGTTGGTCTGTGTGTTTCACATGACCAAACCATTTAGTTAGTCATAGGTCATCATTGCATAATTGATGCTTCCTTTAGGATCACATGAATACATCTGATTTAAGTCCGAAAAACAGGTTTTGTGATTCTAAAGATTTGGACTTCGTTAGAGAGGGAGACATTTTCTTTCTTGGATTCCCATGATGGCAAACTTGGAGGCTGATTTCTTGCCTAGCCGGTTGCCATTTCTAGAAAATGTTTCCGATGACACTATGCTTTATTTTTTTTTCTTTGTCTCATTCTTTCATTAATAGAATAAAGCATCAAAGCACCATTTGACCAAGCATTGTTTATTGAGCCTTCTTTAGGCCTTCATTTTGATAGATCTCAGCCTGTAAAGAGAATATAAGAAAAAGGGAAAAGAAGGGATTAAATTAACTTATTTTGAAAAATAAGGAAACTTCATTATGAATAGCTTTTGGAATCAACTTTCAAAGAGTTTTCAACCCCTAGCACTATTATTGAAAAGTTTATCGTCAAGAGTTTAAAACAATCAAAACTATTTTGGTATTTTAAAAAATTCTTAATGATTCAAATTAGAAAAATGGGCAATTAGTGTCTGTACAGGGAGGAATTAATGAAGCATTTCCAAGGTAAATCTATCATCCATGCAGGTGCAAAGAAAGCACGTGAAGTTGTCTTCTCTGTTCTGAAAGATGCATGCATGGATGGTGATCTCTCAATTCCTGAAGCTGTTGAAGCAGTTAAAGACATCTTCTCGGAAAATGCAAAACAATTTTACAAGATTAATATGGCTGTCAAATCTTTTGATTCAAAAATTGCTGTATCTCCCAACTCTGTGAAGATAGAGACCAATGCTCCACAACAAGATGTCATGCTTGTTCGCATTATTTGGGTTGACGCTTCTGGACAGCACAGGTGCCGTGTAAGTTCTTCTTTTTTTTTTTTGCTGATTTTTCAAAAAATTTGGAAGCTTAAATATTTATGCCATTATGAAGTACCTCATTGTCATTCTTCTATTCGAAATGTGTAAAACTTTCAATACATGTCTGTTTGAAAAAATTGGTGTTGTTAGGGGCTTATTTGCTATTACTTATATAATGTTGGGTGCTTATGTGTAACTTCTGAAACTTGTTAGTATAAATAGAATGTGGTGGAAGGATGAAAGTATTCTTCCATTCTTTCTCTCTTACCCCATCTCTCTCCTTTTTTCTCCCCTCCTCTTTCTTCTCTTCTTCATCTTCTGCTACTTTACTCTTGTTTTGATTATCTCTTAAAGTCAACAATTGGTTCGTTTGAGAAACTGTCGACTAGGGGAAGAATAATTTGATCCTTTTATGCTTGAGGGAAATGTACAGGAAATCATCTTAAACTATCTAGAAGATTGGTACTTTATGGCTGATGTATTTCTACTTATTCAAAACAAAGGGAATTGGATTGATTCATATTTTTGAATTCTAATTATCTTTCTAAATCACTTTGGGTCAGCTGTGCCTTCAAGCATCCAAAATATGACGAAGGAACAAGATCTGGATTTGAGTAGGGCAAGTACTCATGATAATGGGCTGCTATGCATTCTTTATTCATTTAAATATTGTGTATCAGCAATATAATCACAGTAAAATATTTGAATTACTAGTTCATTCCAAGACTGAAAAATGTTTAAATGTATGTATAATATGTATAAAACTCAACTACTGACGTAGCGGAAGTGATAAAATTGTTCACAAGGAACATGGTTACTTTGAATCCACAAAGCGGAAGAAAAATTGCAAAGCTATTGAAATATTATTAATCAAAGGTTAAATTCTGCTCTTGCATTATGTGTATATTTATAATAGAGAAAGCCTAACACTAGAAGGAAAGTAGAAACTAAAAACACAAGGAAACTAATCCTAGAAATAAGCCTAAAAATAAATTCTTTCTAAAAATTCTGAAAAAATAGAAAAAGAAGCCTAATGAATAAAAACTGCTAAATACGAAATCTCAGAGCATTCCGACTTCGTTAAGGACTCGAACAAAAATCCTGAAATAATCAACAGGCCTCCTTAATGACAGAAAAATGCAATTTTGGAGTCCTAAACGAAGGTTTTCAGCCGAAAACCAACATGGACCACAAGCCAAAGCTATTGGGTTTTTCTCAATGCATCGTTTCCACCCAAAAAACACTCCTTTCTGGTAAAAAACAGACTTGTCAAACCGTTCAGAATTCTTTCCTACATCAACTAAAACTCAACTCAACAAAGCTCTTTCAATTGTTTGGGTTTGGCCACAAACAATCATGTTTTGTCATTCCGTTCTAAGGCCACAGTTTCAGTGGAATTAAATGACTGACATCTTTCCTTACTATGTCAACCCATATTAGTTTTGGTCCTTTCCTTAGTGTTACCTTCAAAGTGGAAACATCACTTTTCTTACTTTAGTAATTGGTCTTTGTTGTACATGAGTGAAGCATCTTAATCAATTTTCTCACATTTTATCTTGAATTGCTGCTAGTTAAACCATTTTATAGATATTATCTGTTTGCAATTTTATTGTTTCCTTTTTTTGTCATACTTCCATCTCAAAATTTGAATATTGGCCATGCTTAATTATAAAAATATTGGTTGACCAGCCTAGTTTCTAAATCTATAAATAATTGCTTTATAGAATTTACCTTTCCAATTTAGAAGTATACTTCAATCATACACTATGGAGAACCACCTCATCCATTTAACACATTTTTCTTCAGGTCAATTTCTCTTACTTGTGAATAATTGAGTCTAGATGATAATATGTGTATTTTTTGCTATCTCTTGACCCTCAATCTTCATGCTCAAACTTGCTTACATGTTTCCTTTTTATGACAGATAACATGCTTTTCTAGATTTGTCTTATGGAAACTTTAAGAATAATATGATGTTTACCATTTCATTAAATTGTTAACAGCTTCCCCTTTTGTACAATGGATAAATGCTTTTATCTGATTATACTCGTGGGAATGTTAAATATTACAGTGAGATCTAACATTGCTTACCACACATAGGCTCCAACAGACCAACACATTTAGTAATGACCTTTATCTTGTGTATTTTTGTTAGAAAGGTAAAGGGGAAATTTGCTATTTTACAAAAAACTGAAAAGGGCCTATTTGCGATTTACAAAGATTCGAATTACAAGAAGTTCCTTTAACTAGATGATTGATCTAAAAGATCTTTAAACTTCTAGTTAGAGAAGTGAAAAGAAGTTTTCATTTCTAAAAAATGATAGGAAATAAGTTGAAAGCTGGAATTTGTGTTGAAGACTGAACAATGTGTGAATTGTTTCCTTTATTTGTTTGCTATTAAATTCTTGTGTGATTAAATCCAGATTAATGGCCATTGTTTTGTGCACTGGTAAAATGCTTGGGCTGTCAAGCTTGAGAATGCGGGTTTGAATATTGAGAGTCACCACCTTGTGCAAATAATGTTAAAGTTTAGGTCTGTAACTAGCCTAATCCTCCCAGCACTCTTGATTAATGGGATCACACTCAGGGTAATGACCTATAATATTACAAGTCAAGTGTTGTCGTTAGTAAGTAAAACTACTAAAGGATGTCATTCCATCATACAGCAGATCACAAATTCGGAGGGTATGACTCTGCATCACTCTTAGTTTTGTTTCTTGTCATTAATCGTACTTCATAATTATACAGTTGATGTTGAGTAAATTACACCGTAGATCACTTAACATATCCTTTGTTTTTAGATCTGTGAAGGTTTAATATTGTTTGATTTTTGTTCACTTGCGTACCATCCTTCCAGGTTGTTCCAGAAAAGCGCTTTCATGATGTGGTTAAGAAGAATGGTGTAGGTCTAACTGTTGCATGTATGGGAATGAGTTCAGCTGTTGATGGTCCTGCTGATGAGACTAATCTCACTGGAGTGGGTGAAATCAGACTGATGCCTGATCTATCAACCAAGTGGAGAGTCCCATGGTACTAATTTGTTTTTTCAAAGGGATTATACCGGTCCTCTGTGCCATGGCATATTTCTATGGTGTTACCTACCCTTTGTATGTATATATTTTCCTGGTGGCCATTTGGCCCACTATATTTTGTGAACTCCATTCAGAATCCCTATTCCAAATTTTGAAAGGCAAAAATTTAGCTGGAAAGACCCATATCCATTCTGCCTCCAAGATGATGAGGATATACAGTAACAGCGTGGCGATTAAGCATGTTAGTTGGGATGGCTTAAACTGATCACTAATTGGAACTTGATCAGCCAGTCCTAAGTGCTGAGAGGACCTCCTTCTTATTCACACCCCCCCCCCCCCCCCCCCCACCACACACACACACACACAAGTAGATTAATACCTTATCTTCCTGCTTTAGGGAACGATCAAATGGCAAATAACTACTTCAGAGAATTACATTGAGCTTCCGTTGTGCTAACCTTTGACTCCCTCAGAGTGACTTTGACTTGTAAGTTACAAAAGGTGGCTTACACGCAGATGAAAAAAGTTATAGGTATATGCTTAAGGGGATAGATAACTAGAAATCACAGAGGTATATGCAGATAGAAATATGTATGGTTGTTTAGATATTAGGATGTTTTCTCTAAATTAGATCATTGGAAGATTTTTTTTCCTTACTGAATTTGTATCTAGTTCTTCTTCTGTAACTAAGTTTTTCTTGTTTTGTTCATTGCTCCATATATACTTTATTTAAGTTGTCTAAAGAGTTATGGACACTTTTTTTCTTTTCCCCTTTGATCCGTTATGCCTAGATGACAGTTTGTAGTTCAGCCATGTAAGTGCTTCTGCAGCATAATTACGACCATGGTGTAGAACTTTAGTAATGCCTTGTGACAGGAATTGGCTTCATGGTATATATAGTACACTTCACTCTTCCCATTTTTATTGGCATAATGAACTAATCAGTACAGACTGTATAGTCATGTACATGTCAATCGTGGGTTATTTACATCATCCAATTGACATTTACTTATTTCAGTGCATATTATCTAGAATCATATGATAAGGTTGGAAATTTCTTTGCAACTATATTTATAATTTGTTTTTCTCCACAGGGCAAGACAAGATGAAATGGTTTTGTCTGACATGCATCTTAAACCCGGTGAAGCATGGGAGTATTGCCCAAGAGAGGCATTACGTAGAGTTTCAAAAGTTCTGAGAGATGAATTTAACTTGGTATGCTTGATAGCTTTTGTCCAATGTGTGAAATACCTTGTTTAATTTCCAAATGCTACATGTGCAGGTAATGAATGCAGGTTTTGAAAATGAGTTTTATTTTTTAAAGAGTGTACTAAGGTATTTGATCCAATAGTCTTCATGCCATTCATGTGTGTTGAGTTTCTCTTCTGAATGTGACTATTTTAAATTTATAATATTATTCTGCAGGGAGGGGAAAGAAGAATGGATGCCATTTGACAAAAACCCCTACTGCTCTACAGCTGCATTTGATGCTGCTTCCCCTATACTCCGTGAAATTATAGCTGCTCTCCAATCCTTGAATATTCAAATAGAACAGGTAGCGAAGAAAATTATTATTGTTGTAGGTATTTGGGCTGAAAATTTTGGATGTTTTCTTTATTGAAGTCAAATTATAATGTCATAACCGTGCTATCTATGTGTGGAACATGCCATATTTGATTTCAACCTTTTTTACGTTAAGGGTTGATGAACACTTCTTACATAGTGCTAGATGATCTGAAATTGTTGAGACTCGGAAACTAAAATTGCGGCGACCTTGTGGGAGGGGTGTGAGTGGGCGGGTGCGAGGCACTAGCCTGCTACCATGCTGGCAGGCTATGGTTGCACTATTCCACACTGCCTGGGTGTGGAAAGGGGAAGTGGTATATATTTGCGGGTGCTATTTACAAATGGTATCAGGCCTTTTGAGGTAAAACCTAAGTACAAAGTTGTGCGGTCCTGTGCCCAAAGCGAACAATATCATACCATGTGGTGGAGTGAGTTATTACAAATGGTATTAGATCTTGACCGAGTCGGAAGTGTGCCAACGGAGCCGTCAGGCCACTTATGGGGGTGGATTGTGGTGGCCTTGTGGGCGGGTGTGCGTGCGATGTAGGATTGGTACACTCCAAATGCTATGAGGCCTTCCGGGGTAAAACCCAAGAACAAAACCATGCGGACTTGGGCCCAAAGCGGATAGTATCATAGCATGTGGTGGAGTGAGACAAATAGTATCAGAACTTGACCCAGCTGAAAGTGTGGCCAACAAGGACGTTAGGTCCCTTGAGGGGGGGGGGGGGGGTTGATTGTTGCTATCTTGTGGGCGGGTGCGAGACACTGGCAGCTACCATGCTGGCAGGCTATGGGTGGACGATCCCACATTACCTAGGTGTGGAAAGGGGAAGTGGTACATATGTGCGGGTGCTATCTCCAAATGGTATGAGGCCTTTTGGGGTAAAGCCCAAAAACAAAACCATGCGTGCCCGGGTCCAAAGCGGACAACATCATACCATGTGGTGGAGTGGGCTGTTACACAAATCAACTTAAAATTTCATTGAGCATTGCTGCAACTGCAAATAAAAAAAAATAAAAAAATCCTTTCTACCAAGTGACCACATGCACCTACGTACATAAGATATGAAACACAAATCCATGCATATCTTATTACCTTATAAAACTTGTATGATAACAGCTATATTAAAATTAAGGACCGGCAAGAGGGTTCCTTTCATTGATTACATTATCATTGTGAACTCATGGTCAATTATGCATTGACAACCGGTTCACATGATATGTTCAATGTATATCACGTTCTGTTAATGATAACATATTGGAAACCGTGTTTTTTATAAGAGAAAAATACATCAGCATTTCTGGATTTTCACATTAATATTAGTGTGGATGACTCTGCAATAATTTGTTTGCTAATCTAGAATATAGTCCAGTGTAACCTGCTGTTGGTTTTTGAAATGTATTGTTACGACAAACGGAAGCTCAAATACCACTTTTTAGCTCAGGCTGGGTTGTGGCTAACCACGTAAATCTTGTGTTTCTTGTGGGATTATATATTATTTTTGATTGAATATCTATGTGTAAAATTAAAACATTTTTGAAATGAAGACTCTCGATGAGGGAATGATGTCAGCCGAGACTAATATGCCTTCATTAGGCCAACATGGACGACAAAATGGTTTGATGCCAGAAGAAAGTTATGAAAATAGAGATTGGCTAGACCCTTGGATGACACCGGTGCTGACGTCTTTAAGAGGCCTTTCTATCTGTTTCAGCTCCCCCAGATCAATTATGTTCTGAAACAGTGGAATCTGAGTCAGGACTAAGGACCCTGGGTTTATAAGAATCAATGAAATGGAAAAGTTGATTAATAAGCCCTGGCTGGTCCCATGAGACAACTGTATCATGAAGAACACGTGAAGGGTTCCACATTGTTTGTAACACATCAATATTTTGAAATGGTCCCACATCAACAGTGGATGTTAGTTATTATGTATTATTTTATATGTGGTAATATCAATTACATATGTTTCACTTATTACAAAATTGACACATTGACAATGCCCATGGCACTTCAAAGGCTATTCCTGCATGATACTGTGTTCAGTGTCCTTGTTACAGGAACTTTCTTTCTTGCCACATATTAAAGGTGTGCTGCAATTCAGGTAATTATTACTTGTTTACTCTTGTGGCTTTTAAATGTTGTAGGTACATGCAGAAGCAGGGAAAGGTCAGTTTGAAATGGCACTGGGGCACACAGCTTGTGCTAATGCTGCTGACAACTTAATCTTTACTCGTGAAGTTATTAGGGCAGTTGCAAGGAAACATGGGTTGCTGGCAACTTTTGTTCCAAAGTAGGTTTCTGAATTTTTTGATAATATGGTAAATGTAAATAGATTAAGAATGACACCCAACGTTCATCTGGTGCTTGTGGAAGATCTTAATTAATTTAGAATGATGACTCAATGGGTTACGTGTTTCATTCAAGTATTTGCAATAGCAGCAACATAATATCCTCATGAAATCTGAATAATCTGGTTTAAATTCTATTCATATTTTTTGTGTTGATTATATTACATTATATGTTAGCTTCTTACATACTTCAATTGTTTAAGGAAAACCTTTACCTCGTAAATGATGACTGCATAATGACTGAAAAACAATTAAAAAAAATTTTGTTTAGTTTTATTTATTTTTTATTTGATACAAAGGTGTAATTCTTTTTCTATAAATGATATTTCTTTGACCTGTCCTTGGAATTCAAACTCCTGGTCTAAGTTTTCGTCATCTTTCCTTTAATATTTGATTCTTTTAAGTTTTATCATTATAAGATGCGAATAATAACCTTCACATGCAGTTAAATAGTACTTATCATCACTTGACAAAGTGGTTCCTTCTTGTTTGCCTAGGTACGCATTAGATGACATTGGTTCTGGATCTCATGTGCATATCAGTTTGTGGGAGAATGGTGAAAATGTATTCATGGTATCTGATGGATCCTCTCGACATGGAATGTCTAAGGTCGGGGAAGAGTTCATGGCAGGGGTTTTATATCATCTTCCATCAATTTTGGCTTTTACAGCTCCACTTCCAAATAGGTTACCAATTTCCTCTTTGTAATGAATACTCATTGGCCCTAGAAAATAAAATAAATTACTCTGTAAATCTTCTTCTTGTTTTCTTAGCATTTGTCAATGGAAAATATTGATCAATTGCATTAACTTTTATGAATAGATTATAATGAAAGAATGTATTTTTAAAGTGATGTGAAAGCATATTGGTTATATACAATTTATGTCTAAGCATGGAATAGCATATGTAATATGGATCCCTTACTCAAAAAAAAATTTAGATTGTAATCCGTATATGAAACAATACACAATCTATGAGAAATGTGTTTGTCCCATCTCTTTTTAGCCATGGTGCCTAGCCTTTGATTTTTGAAATTCATTCCCTTTCCTTTTGAATTTTAAGTCATCCCCTCGACACAATACTTTGGCTTCAGTTTAAGTTCGTCTTCTGAACAACTAATTTCAAGTTCACTTGGTAGTTTTCCCCCTTCTTTTTACAATCAGAAAATTTTATATATGTCAAAGGAAATTTATTTTTAATTTTGCCTTATTCTGTATCTTGTGGAAAATATTTTCCGAACGGATCTTTTGGAAGTTGCATTTACCTTTTACTTTGTGAAGAAAAGCTGATTAATGACAAAATTTTCTGGAAGCCACCGTTACAAGTCTTTGTTGTGAGATAATGATTACGGGTTCTGTGTATTTCCATTTTTACTTCAAAGCTCATTATATGTATCGTTTATATTAGCGTTTCGGATTTTTCTAAACATGAACTTTTTGGTGGAGTTCATTGGAGTAGCAACAGATTTATACAGAGACACTTTTTGAAATTCTGAATGAAATTCAAATTTTAACACCGAGCTGACAGTAGGCAATTCTTTTTTAAAAAGATATCAGCCAAATACATATTAAAATTTTGATCATGAATGTATTTCTTCCTCTTCTTGTTGGGTTGATAATGAATACTGGAAGTTTGTGTTAATATTTTTTTTATTAGACACACACACACACACACACACACACATATATATCTATCTTTTTCTCCTATTTCCCCTAATTCTGATCAAATTTATGATTTTTCAAAAAATCAAAATATTGTTCCACTTTAAATTTAAGATCTCTAAATTAGATGCATATATTGGATGACATTAAATAAAAAATGGCACACTGTATAGTCTTATTCCTTTAATTTGTCTGATCAATTGTTATTGGTGTGCAGTTATGACCGCATACAACCCAATATGTGGAGTGGAGCATACCAATGCTGGGGAAAGGAAAACAGAGAAGCTCCATTAAGAACTGCGTGCCCACCTGGAGCTCCAGATGGTGTTGTCAGCAACTTTGAGATTAAATCCTTTGATGGGTGTGCAAATCCGTACTTGGGCCTGGCTTCTATAATTGCTGCTGGAATTGATGGCCTTCGCAGACATCTTAGTCTTCCTGAACCCATTGGTAGGATGAAACTTTCTGATAATACCAAATGTGTTAATCATTTTGTACTGCTTTTTAATGTGTTATTTCTGAATCGATTTTATGAGATTGGTTTACTTTTAGAAATCGTTCATTTTGCTACATTTCCAAAGGAGTAAATTCCATGCATGTTAACATTCTGATGTGTAATCATCCTCCTTGGCATAACTCTATGAAACTGGACGCTAGCACCTGACTTGGCGTTGTCAGCACAACTGCTGCCAGGTGTTGTTTCTTCAAAGTTTTCAACATGTGTCTTGTCATTAGGTTTCTGACATTTCTATAAGAAAGTAACTTTATTATAAGGGACCTTATGGGAACTCGGGATTATCATTCTTCCATGAGTATTCTTATCAAGTGGTCATACAACATTTGATTTGAGTCAGTTCATGTTTTTTGCTATGATGCTTGTGGAAGTTGTAATGCTTTCTCTGTTTTGCTGCTGGGTAGTCCATGCGATCCTAGGGTCTTAGCTCATATAGGCCATTTAGTTTAACTGAAGTCAACTCTGTTACTACCGTTGCAGTTATATGTGTTCTCTCCTCATACCTCTCTATCTGGCATGTTTTTAGAGGAGTACCATCATTTCTTGGAACTCTTGGACACATCTAACACATTCTACACATGTCTCTATCATCTAAAAGTAGATGGTTTTCTAGTTTTGGGCATGTGCCCAATGTTTGCATGAAAATTGTTAATGCAGCCATTTGTTTGGGTGAAAGAAGTGTGATATATAATAAGGGTCTCAAATAAAGGACATAGGTTAGGGGAGAGGAAATGGAGTTGAGTAGCCATGATTAAACGAGTAACGTGTATGTATGTATCTTTCGGAGTTTCCTGCGTCTATATCATGGTTTCATATAATTAACCATCAGTCTTCTATTTGTTAGATATATTGTAATATGAGAGAGATTTACGCGATGAAACTGCTTACAAAAGTTGCCAACAGTCACCTTTATTTAAGTGGTGAATTTTCGGACTAAATTTAAACTTTTTGAATTTTTTAACAGTCAAATCTGTTCTTGAAAAGTCACACCCATTATTGAATATTACATCTATTCATAATAGTCATATGTATTCAATGGTGACTTTCAAATTCAAAATGGTAAGTCATTCTTTTTCTATAAAAATAATAATGTTCCAAAAAATTTAAATATACGATTCTCCCTTTCATTACTATTCTCTACAGTCAAAATTATATCTAGTTTTTTCACTACTGCTAAATGTAGATTTCAGTGATTTTGTTGTATCTTGGAAGTGTTTCGTCAATAACCTAGAAGCAAACTTAGATAAGTGGGATAAAATAACACCTTAAGGACATGCGCCTCAGAGCCACAAATCTATTTTTCTGATTTCTTGTAATATATGATTCCTTGTTCATATCACAGTACTGGTCCAAACACCATTTACCCATATTATGTCGAATTTATGTTTTATACGTTATGTCATGTCTCAATACTCTTTGGCCTTTCGGTTAATTGCTTTGCTCAACTGTGTTGCTCAAAATTTTTGTGGTGAGTTGTGCCAATCACGCTCAATTATATAAAGGCTTAGCATCTGAAGAGAATTGATTGTTTCGCCCAACAATAGGTCTTTCTGAATTTTATGTATCTAAATATTTTGAAAACAGTTGAAATGAATTTTGAGAATCTATTTTTTTGTCTTTTTCTGGATTACTGCTTTTACTTACCACTGCATCTTTTTTAAGTTAGTTACAAAGAAACTACAAGCTAGTAGAAGTACTACTGTGATCTCACATTGTGGTGTATGATGTTTTCCATAAAACAGATACAAACCCTTATAGTCTGGATGCAGAACTTCAAAGATTGCCATTGTCTCTTTCGGAATCTGTAGAAGCTCTTCAGAAAGACACAATCATGAAAGAATTGTTTAGTGAAAAGCTTTTGGTCGCTATAAAAGGAATTCGCAAGGTAAGTTCCAAATATATCCTCCAAATGATGTTCTCTATAGATGTTAAATAAAAAAATTAAATAAAGCAAAAGGGATTAGCTTTCTTTTGTAAAAATCTGCTTGAACTCTTTATTTCTATTTACAAATGATTTCTTTGGAATCTGAAAGCTTGGAACATTTATTGTGGAAAGGCATGAATGCATTATACTTGCAATTGACATTGAATAATGTTTCCTTTCAAATTTTCACTCTCATTTACGAGGTTTTGAATGGTCCTGGTGGACCTATGTCTTATTGTTGCATTATAAAACTTACACCCCTTTTTGTATAAATAAGAGATTTGGCAAAATTTCCTTCTTAACGAGTAGGAAATTTTTAGCATAAGTGTGCTTAATAGACTAGCTGTAGTCTTTATCTAGTCACATCAAATGGTAGGTTTCCATACTTATTTATACCGACGTGGTAAAATCTTATGAGGAACCTGCAGAATGCACAGAGATAAACTGTGAAAATGATTGTTCTCTTGAAAAACTGTATCTCATGAAGTTTCTTGTTGCAACTTATGAAATATTCTTAAAATCCTCCCAATTTTGTAGCTCTAGGAAGTTCCTTCCTCATAACTTCTCATCTTTTAAGCAACTTCTGATGGAGTGAACTTCTTTTGTTACAAGTTACTTCTGAATGCCAAAGTGGCCAATGCCTCTCAAATTTTAATCATTACCGTAATCACATGAATGCTGGTTCCAAACTTAAAAATGTGTTCTTTCCGTACTTAAACGCATACGAGGATGCTGAGCATGATTTATTATTTTGCAGGCAGAAATTAAACACTACTCGGAAAATAAAGATGCATACAAGGAACTTATACACCTCTATTAAGGTGGCTGTATTTCTTCCATATTTGTGAGAAGGAAGATTTCAATGATCCTTTACACTGTATAAACTATATTCCCTTGCTACTATACCTTATTTTGATGGTGCTTCATATTGGAAAATCGTCCTGTTGCGACATATAGCGACGTTCTTGGAGATAACCCTTTTTTTATTATTATGTTTTTATAAGCTATATTGGATGTACAATTTTGTATGCTTTTAACAGCAAAAATAATATGCCAGCAGGTCATAATGGCTCCATGCTTTATTCATTTTACTCTGTGTGCACTTTTGATTGTTTGTTTTGTATCAAGAGATTGCTTAATTAGAGTCAAATCCCTGTTTGGTTAAAACATTTTTCAAGAACAGTAAAAACATGAAACAGTTCTCAAAAAACTGTAAAAGATTGTCTTCTATAATTAGATTTTTTTAAAACTAGTTTTCAGAAACAGTTCTAAGCAAATGAATTTTCGACCAGTAAACGTTGTCATATGTACTATTAGTTACATTTTCTTCTAAGCTCGTTATAGGTTTTCAAGATTTAATGAACAAATGATGTCCAAGCAAACAATATTGTTGTACATTGTCATATTAGCAAATTGTATATCATAGACTATTTCGTTTTCTAATGACTTATTAGGTCATATGCATTGAACATGAACTTTTTACTAGAGTGTGTGAGTATATATGTATATATTATTATATTTAATATACGTTATACGTGTATAATATAGACATGGATGACATGTATGTATGTGCATGCATTTACCTATATGTTACTAGGTAGGTTAAAGAACCTCATACACCTTACTACTCATGGTTGTCCTCAAATGATGGGAGCTACAAAACCTTTGGTTATTAATGTATATTCCAATTAATTTATTGTTGGTTTATAAAGAGAGAGAGAGAGAGAGAGAGAGAGAGAGAGGGTAAAGAAAGAGAGGTGAAGCAGAAAACAGGCCTAATTTGCTCACATCCCTCCAAATTCTCCTTTTAACGTCCAAAGCAGACACATGAGATATAAAATTATGTATACCTAAAACCTCAAAAGAATCTAAAGAAACAGAGAAACACATTGTCAAAATTAAGTTAATATAGAAGAACTCACAAAGGCCTTGCCAACTACTCCTAGCTACACACCCGTGTATATATACATATATATATACGTACGCCATGGCAGTGCCTTTGCGAGTGCTCTCATCATCAATTTCATCAGTATTATTGGTTTTTGTTCTTGTGGTGGTGCCTGATCATAATAATTATGTCCATGCCCGTGGCAGAGTACATCATTTATGGAGAGGACACAAGTCCCCAGTGTTGCATCACAAGCACCATAGGCCAAGGTTCAGACCAGGTCAATGGAAGAGTGCTCATGCTACCTTCTATGGAGGCTCTGATGGCTCTGGAACGATGGGTACGTGTATGCCTGCAAATATATGTAGCCTCTCTTTTTATTTTTATTTATTTATTTTTTGCGAGAAAGTCTGTAATACTTTGGGAGTACCAACATGTGGTACACGTAGCCAATTGACAGACATAGAAACTTTCAATTTCTCGTGTATCAAGAGGCTACTGGTTGGTACCATGTATACAATAACATCGGATATTCTAAACTTTCACCCTTTATATGTCTTGCATTGGTATGTCCCGACAATAAAAATTAATATAATAATCAGTTAGTTGAGAGCAGTTTTCAAAACTAGTTCAGACCAATTTTATAAAATGATGTATTTCTATTGGCTTGGCATACCAAGTTGAGGGCTTGTGTGTTGCTGTGACCACTTTAAGGTCAGTATTCCAACGTCCAACCGTCGTAGGAGCAAATCTGTCACAATAAAATATAAATATGGATTCAGACTTACATAAATTTGCTACAAATCAACCTCTTCACACATATATGGCCTCCGTTAAGGCTCAAACTCTTAACCTCCCTTTGGGAAGTAGGAGTTTGGTACTGCTAGACCACTGACCTGTTGATGAATCAACCCCAATTTTATGTCTCATTAATTATAAACGGTCTCTTTAGTTCAACAATTATATTGTTTCATTTATTTTGTAACTACTAATTTGAGAGTGTACTTCGTATGTGCTTAGGTGGAGCTTGTGGCTATGAAGACCTAAAACAAGAAGGGTATGGTTTACAGACAGCAGCTCTGAGCCAAGCTTTGTTCAATAATGGACAAACCTGTGGAGCTTGTTATGAGATAGTGTGTGTGAGTCACGATCATTGGTGCACGCCTGGTCACCCACCCCTCTTTATCACAGCAACCAATTTTTGCCCGCCAAATTTCTATCAATCCAGTGATAATGGAGGGTGGTGCAATCCACCACGCGAGCACTTTGATATAGCCCAGCCAGCATTTCTCAAGATTGCTGAGTACAAATCTGGCATTATTCCTGTTCAATATCGAAGGTATATATATATATATATATATATGACAATCAAGTTTAATTTATATATTAACTATAATTAAATATAAAAAGGGTTCATTCAAAGTTTTGGTCCCACGAGTCAACTCAAATTATCAAACGGATCAACTGCTATTGCAGCTTTCTGCTTTAGCATGCTGCAACAAAGATTTTCAATGCACTTAAAAGGTATTTCAACACATTTGTTCGAAATTTCAACCAAATTGCATCTCAACACATTTATTCTAAATTTCAACTAATAGAATTAATGTGTTAAACACAATGTAATGGTTTTGAAACTTAACACTATATTGATATTGAAGTGCTTAAAGCGTGTTTTAATGCAATTGTTCTAGATTTCATCAACAACCTAGAACAGGAGCGGGGGTAGAATGTGCCCAGGGGGGTAGCTGCCCCCTACCCATGCTGCCCACTAGAATATATATACACATAAATTTGTAAAAATTGACACAATGCCCCCCCTAAAATTAATAAAATGGTTCGTTTACCCTTGAATTCACTAAATTTTATTTTATTTTATGCGTATAATTTCTAAATATTTATAAAACACTCTCATAAAATATATAAATTATTTCCATAAAATTATCTATTTCTAAAAATATCTTTAATTCTTTATTCATTTTCCTTCTTATTCTTCAAATTTCTTTTTGCATCTTCGAAACTTTTGCATTCTCTTTCTACAATTAAAACCTATCATTTCCTTCAAAATTCTCTCATATTTTTTTTTTTCTTTTTGTATCATTTTCTTCTTAAAAAATTCCTTTTTTCTTCTTAAAAGTTTCTTTTTCTCGCACTAATACATAATTTATGTGCAATAACCTTCTTTTTCTTTTTTCTCTTCTTATTCATTTTTTATTCACTTATTCTAATACACTTTTGTTATATTTTCGGCCTGCTTGAAAAAAATTTATTTTATCAGTGCTAACATGCCCCCTGAACCAAATTCCTGGCTCCGTCCCTGACCCAGAATAAATGCATTAGTTTGAAATCTTCCACAGCACGTTACAACGTGGACTAGCTCACTGCAACATGTGACTCAAACGCATCAAAACAACCCTAATAAGGAATTATTATGGTCAAACGATTACAAAGTTTTACTTGAGTTATGATATACTATTCAAAAGTCCGAACTGTCAGAACAGTGGTGGGGTCCATACTTGAGCTTCGTCTAACTTTGTAGTTGATATTGCAGGGTTTCATGTAAGAAAGTAGGAGGAATCCGATTCACAATAACCGGAAATCCTTATTTCAACTTAGTGTTGATATGGAACGTTGGAGGGGCCGGAGACGTGGTGAGTGTGCAGGTGAAGGGTCACGACAACTTGAAATGGACGACGATGAAGCGAAACTGGGGTCAGAAATGGGAGACTAACGCCAAGTTGGTAGGGGAGTCGGTCACCTTCCGAGTCCATGCAAGTGATGGTAGAACTACTACTTCATGGCACGTTACCCCCAAAAACTGGCAGTTTGGTCAGACCTTCGAAGGCAAGAACTTCAAGTAGAAAAAAACTACTTTCCTATATATATATATATATATATATATATATATATATATATTTGTAGATATGGAGATTTTCTCAAGTCTTCTTCTACTTCTCTATACATTAGGCTTTAGACTTTAGTACTACGGATGTCTAGGCATGGAAAAGTTGTTGCACTTCCATGTTTATTAGGCAACAGTGTGTGTTTTATCCTAATGACACCGAATTGCCTGTCTAATCGAATGATTTTAATAGATTATTTTTGCAAAAATACAAGTAAGTGAAGGATCTCACTTTCTTATTTTTTACATAAATGACCTATTAAAAATAATAGATATGATAATTCATTGTAATTACTCGGTATAAAAATCATTTTCCTTTTATCTATAGGCGACCAAATTCTATATCGCCGAAACGGCGTTTTGTAATCTTTTTGTAAACATTACCTATTCTCTCAGGGTGTGAGAGATTTCTTGGTTGTAATGTCGCTTCCTTCCACTTCTTGTTGAGGGCTTTTGATTATTAGCAAGTCTCATTAGATATCTCTGTTTTTTCAATTAAAATTATCTTTACTTGTAAGAAAGGGAAAAAAATATATAATTAATAAAATAATTTTTAGGCTGATTGGTTAAAGAGATTACAAATTTTTATTGCTCATATATGTAAAGTATAAGGAATGTGATCCACTTCCTTATACTAATCAAAAGTTGTAGGTCAAATAATTTAAGTATAATTATAAAACCTTTTAAACTAACAAAGTAATCAAGTTATCTTATTTTCGTAATGGAATGATAAAATTAACCTTACTATTTAATGTTAAATTAAAATGCATATAATTATTCTTTTAAATTTATGAATCAGCCTTCATGAAGTTCATTTCAATTGAAAACAAACACTCTTCGTTGAAGGCACAAAATGACCGTGTATGTAAAAAAAAATTTAAATTCATAATTTTAAATTAACAATTATTAGCAATTTAAGTTAAACATTAAATAAAAATGTCAATTCTGCCATTTCATTAGGGCAATGGGATAACTTGATTCCTTTTGTTGGTTTGGGGATTTTATAATTCTATTGGAAGTTTTATGCATATTTTTTATACTACAGAGGAATTTTATGATTTTAACCCTTAAATATATAATAAGCCATTATATAGCTGGAAATCGAATGGAAACATAACACTAATATCACTATGCATGTGTGGATGAATTTCAAAAGATCATTATTGTGTGTGTGTGTGTGTATATATGATTTGATCAAAATGTATATTCATATACAAAATGAAATTTGTTCTATTAAATCTGTAGACACCCTATTTTACCCCTAACTACTTCAAGTGTATTTAGTATTTTAACTCCCAAGTGCAGGAGCGAATAGGTAATTTAAACTTCTTCATTCAGTCAGAAAGTCATCACAATAACGGACCAGGCTCCGACAAGACCGGCCCATGTTTTGGGTGTCGTCAACAGGTTGAGTTGGGCTGAGAGACACACTAGCATTTTCCAAAATTTCATTGGGATAATAGTAGTATAAAATAATTTTACAAAAAATAATTCAAAGAATAATTCAAAAAATTATTCAAGCGCAGTTGTCCACAGGCTTATAGTTATGTTTATGATGACACGAGTAGCACGTTTATTTAGAACACAATTTAAAATACGAAATAGAATAGTAGTACAAAATAATTTTACAAAAAATAATTATCAATACGAAAATCATACATATTTGGTCCAAAATACCCCTCAGCCCTTTAAACACCGTCTTACTAAAAAAGTAAAAAGACTATTTGGGCTCAATTCTATCTAATAGTAATAATATAATAATGATAATGACAAGGAAAGACCATCACCAATGTTTGTTTCATTTCGAAAAGAAAAAAAAATGTTTGTTTCATCTTGCAAAGTTCTTGAAGGAGATGACTAGAGATGGACCAACATACCATCCTGCACAAGTGTTCGAAGTTTCATCCAATGACATTACATAAACAATTGAAATCATTGTTTTGCATAAGTGTGGAAAAAAGACCAGAGAAAGTTATTTAGTATTATTCTGTACAAAATGACTCTTGAGTCCTCACATATCAACCAGAACTTTAATCATTTCACGAAGCTCTAAATAAAACAAAGCAATTGTTGTGCCCCAACTAGCATAAGTTACTCTGCATAATTGCATTTTTGCATATCCAAAAATTAGGGCACACACGGGCTCGGGGCACCTCCAGAACTATTATATAGATGATGAGATATAGATGTACTTCAACATATGTTTCCTACAACATTCAAGCTAAACTACCAAAACAATTATGCTCACAAGAACAACTCAAATTCCTCTATGTTACAGCCGGAATGAAAAGTAGCCCTCAACAGCTAATTTTACCTGCTTATATCTGCCAACGGGACCCAACTCGTAGAATTTCCCAAGATTCTTTTGTGCTTACACAACGTCAAAGCTCCCATTCATCTTCTGCCAACAAGTGGGCTGTGTGCAGCTGATGTTGCTTTACGGTGTGATGTCTGCCAGTGGTGGTTATTGATACATTCATTTCTTTAAACATTTCAATCTTAGAATTGACAAGACTGCAAATTACATCCAAACATGCCCATCACTCGACTTCTTTTGTTTCTTCTTTTTTCTCTTCTCTTCTTTTATTACAGCGCTTGCTTCACGACTTGAATGCCGGGATCTTATTTCTTGTAACTTTCTTTTTGCATCTTGAAATAGTGCATCAGACTTCAATGCCATCAATTGCTGGGTATTCATGAAAAAAAAAAAAAAAAAAGTCAGCTTCAAGTTTCTTCCGACTAACAAACATTTATAATTACAATTCGTGTTGGAATCGACTTCAAATGAGTAGATTAGACACCCTGTCCAACATGTTTTCTTGGACAAGCACTCAACAGGCCTTTCAAGTAATTCAAATTTCTAACAATTATGCAATAGTTATCCAATTGAGTACTTTTCCTTCAAATTGAGTTATGTGATAAGAACTCTTATGTTACGTGAAGAGACAATTTATTAAAAAGAAAAATAAAAATAAAATTAAGGCCTCGGCTATTATCAAAGTGTTTTACAGTACATAGTAGTACCAGATTCTTATGCAATTATACATGATTTGACAACAGCCATTAGCCATTTTAACAGTAGGGACACCCAAAATAAAAGAAAAAAGGTCAAAATATCCTCAGATTTTGGACAGAAAGTAAACACAGTTGACACAATATTCTACATAGAAACATGCACACCTTGAGATGATCCATAGCAGCAAGGTTGAAACCAAGGGTATCCTTGCATTCCTGAAAATTTTCAGGCATCACATTGTCAGCAAAATGGGATTAAGGCAATGACAGATTATAATAAAATTGTCAGCAAAAGCAGCCGTAAATTTCCTTTTTTATTTTTAATTACGAAAAAGAATATTATACAAGTGAAGCTCTACTAATCACTGAGACTTGCGAAGAAGCCAAGCAGGAATTGAAGGCTACTTCAATTCATTTGAACTTAAATGGCATGAATAGACATCTGAACTAGTGTAACAATGATACTTTTTTTTCCCTAGTTGGTAACAATGAGACTTGTGGAGAGAATTGACATAAAAACACAAACAATGTATATCTTCTTGGGACAAAACAAACAATGTTTTCGTGAAGCCCAATCACTTTAAAAAACTAAACTCCAGCTTCTTTTCTACAATGTACCACCGGAAGCCTGTGACATTTGCAAATGATAGGACTACTGTATTTATAAAGTGATACTACAATATTTGAAAATATAAACAACAATATATGTAATAGCGATTCCATATTTGAAACGTTGATATATTAATTACATAAATGTATATCATCTATGGAAACTATTTCACGAATTTCTTCTGACATCATAAAAATTATACAATATTCAACCATATAACTATATATATTTCTATGAATCAAATTTTGCAATACTATTACTTTTTGTATAATATTTGCATCAAGGATTGTTCAGATTGGCAAGACAAACCAACCATTTGATTGTGCTCTTTTTGATTCAAGAGGCCGCCTAAGTTTGAATATCAGGAACCCAATTACATGAGGTGAAATAAGTAACCATTCACATCACTACTCATAAAGAAAAAATAGTAACAATAGCCGACTGTGAGAACCGTTTTCTGCCATTGCCAACAGCCTATAGAACTAAAATTCTCACCTTACACATTTACAACCAAATAATTTAAATTTCTTTACGAAATTTTCATTATATAATTTTGAAGAACTAAGGAGGCTTCCTTGCCCTTTTACACTCTACCCATGAAACTGATCAGAGGATTACCTTGACTCTTGCATGAAGAATGTCTTTGAGAATTGTCAAGACAGGTCTGGCGGCTACTGTAGTAACAAGCTGGTTATGATGTATCTGCAATAAGACTGTAGCTACCCTACAGACAAGCTCAACCTGCAGGTACAAGTAAGCAACAGTTAATGAATCACACGTTAACTTCCAATGCAAGAACAAAAGACGCGAATAAGGAATTACTTAGTATATAGCCATTAACTTGGTTTAAACTATAGACAAAATAGTATACTCCAGATTTATATTGTGATCAATTAAATTTACAGATTGCAATAATTCAAGTAGGTTTCTCATTTGTTGTAATTTTGATAACACCAGCATCGATTTCCATCAAAAGACAAATAGCATGGTAGAAAATTTCAGAGGGGAGGTCCAAAATTATTTGTATCCAGTGCGTACAGTTGCACAAACTGAGACCCGCCAAAAAAAAAAAAAAAAAACTTCTTGTAAAAACTACATTGAAAATCACTTTAATTACCGAAAAAGAAAAATCACTTTTTTTCTGAAAGACTAATGTAGTTCCTCACTGGGGCTAGGAAACTAAATAATGGATAAATGGAACTTTTTATGCCAAAAGGAAATATGACATGAAGGACAAATTGGAGACGTAGGGGGGATTGGTAAATGGAAGAGCCCATCTAATATACTGAAAAATCCACTAAGGTTGAAAGGGGTAGTCTGTAAACAGCTACTAGATAACCATCATAACCATCTTTTATATGGACAGCTACAAAACAACATATGCATAAAGTCATAGGAAAAGTTTTTAAAAGTTCATGATATTTTGAAAAATAAACAATTTTTCTACATTGACTTTCACATGGGACATGAATTTTGGGACCTCTAAAAATGAAAAAATGGACAAGATCTTGGGGATGGAGGGAGTACAATTTTTGGTCGTAGTCGCAAGGCTAGTATTTTGTCACTCTTTTTTTGTACTCATTTTTTTCAATTTTTGTGTGTCTAACAAGAACTCCTACATATGAAGCATGATAAAAAAAAGATCCAATTTGGGACAACGGAAGAATCCTCAAGCCAGTAGGAACTTGCTACATGCATTAGTCAGTATATAATAACCGTACCGTGTTTCTGACATGTATTAGTTGTTATATATGCATTTGGATTAACATCAATTTCATCATGGGTTGTTCTATCCTTGAAGGACTAGCCCATAGCACGAGACTCCTGCCGTTGCGGGATCTAGGGTGGCACAACAGTGGTCAGAGGTTCGAAATGGATACAGCCTCTCTGCACGGAGGTAAGGCTGTGTCTATCTAACCCTCTATAGCTCCTGCAATGGCGGGAATCTCATGCACTGGGCTAACGCTTTAAAAACTTATCCTTCATTGAGTAAGTTTATTTCTTAAATAAGTACAAATGCATGCATATATTTCTTTATTTCTTAATTAAGTACAAATGCATGCATATATTTCTGTGTACACCAACACTTTCGCATATCATCATGTTCACATATTCAAACCTTATCAGGATTTAAGGACCAATCCTTCAAGTAAGACAAAAGCTTCAAAGCATCTGAAAATGGTAAAGCCTGCAAGCAAAACACACTTGTTCAGAAAGCCACCCTTCCAATGAACATAACCCAAAATGTGAAAAAGGGAATTGCTAGCCCTCTTAATCATTACAATAGAATATTATCTAACCATCAAAACGAAGAGGCTCAATATTCAAGCCCAAATAACTAGGTCAATTTACCATGAGCGCCAGAGGTCCCAAGTTACACACCTACTGGCTCTAAGGCAACAAGAAGTGGAATGCAATATTTAATTATAGACTATCAATATCCATTTTGATCGGTCACTTAAAGAAGGGATGAGTTATTTCTGAGTCCCCAACAAGCAGAAGCAATGAATATGTGTAAAATAACATGGGCAATGTTGATCTTTTTGGTAAAGATTCAAAAGAAGATGGAATCAGTGGCAAGGATCAAATGTAATTCTAGTGCAAGGGTACAATTCTTAATCCCTAATACATATACACCAAACTTGTTCAGATGAAACAGGTCAAGATGAAATGATAGTTTAAATTTGATTTGTTGCAATCTTCCAAAGTCAAATTTAGACTGTAAAGAGTCCAAAGCATGACTTGCTGCTTCATGAAGTAAGGACTAAATGACAACCAAACTGACAAGATTTAAAACCTAGGAACCACAGGAACTAAGTAATTAAAAATTTTCAAATCTTGCAAATGAATGGTGGCTTGCTATTAGCAAGTTCTGTTCCAAGGGAATGTAAAAATTTCAGGAAGTCAAATTTAAGAAAGGTGTTGTTTGATGAAATGGAAAACTATGTGATGAAACTTTAGAGCTGAACTGTAAGTGCTGAATTCTAAACATTGAATTTGCAACTTTTGATTCCTTTTATTACTACAGCACCACTCACCAGTAACGTCTGCTCAAGATCATTGGTGTGAACATTTGAAAGTGCACGAAGAACGTAATCAGATGGAGACAGCCCAAGCATGATAATATTTGGCCGAAAGTCTGCTACTCTTCCCCCTGTTTTCTCCTCCTGAAATCACAAAACACAGTCACAATTCTAAAATCAAATCCAGGATCTTAAGAAACTGATTAAACATTAAAGTTCCCATTATTTGCTTCCTATTTCAGAGTTTAAATCATCATAATCCCTACAAGTATGGCCGATGCATTTTTTTATTTTCAAGTACTTCAGTAATCATAAGTTCTTTTTTTTTTTTTCCTTACCCAGCAAGATATAACAAGAATATCTAGATCGTAGATTGTTTCAAGATCCTGAAATCAAAAAAGTCACATTTTTTTTTTTCAAGTACTACCTTGTGATTCTATGTTGTTTCATATCAATTGTACCTTTTCATAGAAGTTAATAAGGTAGAACATTTGAGACAACAAAAATATTAAGGTTGTTATAATCATAGGTACTCTAAACAGAGTAGAAGTATATGAAGATCAAATATTCAATATAACAGGATGGAAATAATTAGCACTGAAACAAAGAGACAAGAAATAGCATATTGCAAATAAACATAGATATCATCAATGTCAAATCTGAAAACAAAATCCAAAAATATATATTTTTGGTATGAATCCCTTAACCCCCAAAAACCAACTAACAATTTTCTCAATTCATTTTACTTGTAGTGTATCGAGTGAATAGGAAAAGCTGTCTACCCATATACAAACAAATGTGACCAAACTCATCACAAATGTTATCAATCAATACTCATAAAAGCTTTTTACTAATAGCTTCACTATTTATGTCATCACCACACCCATTCATATTTGGCTATACTCCCCTCCATCAGTATGCCAAGCTGCATGTATTATAATTCAGTCCTCCTCTCCTCCCCCTCTCAATATCTTTCTCAATGTTCTCTCTGATGGCATATCATAGAGGTGTCAGGAATCGCGAGTAAAACAAGCATAAGCTGACAATAGTGCAAAAGGGGGTGAAATTAGTTATTTACATCATCAGCAATCTACTCTGGCTACATTAACACAAGAACTTTTGCTTCTTATTGCAAAAAACCAATTCTTTCTCTAGAAATATAACAATGTGTAACATTACAACATACACTATGAGCATGAAGACAAGGCCAACCTTAGAAATGATAATTGCAGGAAGATGATAACGAGAAGTTTCATCCATACTCTTGAATGAAGAAGTGAAGGAAAAGTATTCATTTTCTTCACACAAGGAAGGGGGATGCACCTCAAGCCATGAAGTAAAAACGTAAAAGTTTTTGACTCTTAAAAATAATAAACTAATAAATGATACAATAGTAAAAGCATCAGAAAAGGAAGGAAAAAAAAAAAAAAAAAAAAAAAAAAAAAAAAAAAAAAAAAAAAACAAAAAAACATGTCTGTGTGAGTTTAGGAATAAAAAAAATAAAATGATTCTCAGCAATGTTAAACCATGGAAGTTGAAAAAACAAGCCCTTTTGTTCTAGAATGTGCCTTTTAACACAATTTGTCTTTTTGCTTTACTTTTTCGTTATTTTTCCTTCTTGAACAAGCATCAAATAAATTAAGGGAACATTCCCAACAATTTGAGGTCCATGAATAACCTAAACTATGTTCCTTGCACTAGTAAAGTAAAGAGGACCACCTAGATTGGAATTAGTGCCCAATTGTGTAAAGAAATTTTTTGGAGCAAATTTTACAAAATGATGCAAAAGTAAATAATCATCAAACCACAGAAAAACTGCAGCAGCTTTACAACTTATAAATCATGCTAGCTATCCAGTTTGACCTTGCAGATTGTAAGAGTAGGAAACTGTTCGATGAAAAAGAAAATAGACATAAAGCAATACACAATCATTATGAAATACACAGAGAACGATACACAATACGATTCTGCAACCTTCCAGCTAATTGAACAACAAAAAATATATATATATATATCTTTTTGATTGACGAAAACTAAACATTTACATATTTTCATATGTTAAGTGTTATCCCCCCTCTCATGGAATGAGGTCTTCTTCGCCCTCCACCTAAGCTGCGCAGGAAAGGCCCAAAGCCAATCCCAGGGAACAGTAAAGCTTCATATAGGGTACATGAATAAGGGATCTAAGAGCAACGATCCCTACTATGATCGTTACATGTATGATACTCAATATAGTTGGAATAATCACATTAATAGTTGCATTGACAGTTATCTTCACTCTCAAATTTATTCTATAAGAATTCAGCAGCCAGCTTGCACATCCTATGCAAGGACAGGTCGTATCATTAGAATGAGAAGAGGTTTATTGACAACTAGCTAACAGGTCAGTTTTACGCATTTGCAATGATTAAGGAAGAGAACATCTTATAACTGGTGTGTAAATTTGAATAATATAAGACAATGAATGCTGTTTTCCACTTGACATCTTTTCCCAAAAAAATATGTGAATTAAAATGTGGTCAGCTACTTACCAGAGGAACAAATATGTTTCAACTTTTCACCAAATGCCTCAAGATTCAAACTATTTCATTTTAAGAAGAATTGTCTAACAAACAGCATTTAATTATCTTTTATGACTTCACCTCCCGAACAAAATTTGTCCACTGGTTTTTCTGCTCCTAACGTGACCTGGTAACAATAGAGGATCCTGTTACATGAATCCTCATATAGGAAAAGCAGTCAAAAATCAAGCATACACAAAAAATAAAAAATCTTAGAACGTAGATGCATTTAATCAAGAAATTCTATAACATGAGTGTTGGGGCTTGAGGGCATTTAGTCTCTACCATCCTGTTATGACAATCATATATTAAGTAGTACGCGAAGCCTCACTACCAATAATTTTATGAGCATTTTATGGTCACATACACGTAACACATCAAATTAATTAACAAGTAACAAAAACAATTGGGAACATATCTTGTACCTCATGTTCAGCAATACGCTTTAATTCTGCCTCAGCCATGTCTAATGCTTCAATAATTGAGTCAGTTGCTGTGAGGGTTTCTTGAGTTTTCTTCCCTGCTAAAGCCACAGCTCCCTCCTCCGGAAGTTCTTCTTTAGGTGCATACCTGTTTTCAAATGCATTGTCAAGGTCAGACTCAAACATCTCTTCCAACCTTTTCTCTTTCTCTTCCTGCAAATTTAAATAGCACACATTAATTGTTGAAAAGAATAATGGAATAGCTCCAAATCTCAACTAAATCATGGAAACTAATTATCACAAGTTAATTATAACATATTTTTGCCCAAGCGAAACAATAGCATAATAGCAGACACAAGGAAATTAAGGAATCAATACCTCAATGAAAAATGGTTCTTCAGTACGATCCCAACGACGGATTGATCGATCATGAGATCCCGTGACAACAAAATCACCACGGTTGCTGACTGAAAGACACCAAACTTCAGCGTGATGCCCCTCAAGAGTTAAAAGCAACTCAAATTTATCCGCATCCCAGTATTTTACAAGGCGGTCTTTTCCAACACTAAACATGTAATGGGTATTGCGTACAAATTGCACCGCCATAACACTGTGATGGAGAGAGAGAGAGAGAATTATTGCAATTACTTTTCACCAAGAATCCACTATGAAGAATGCAGGTTTATATATATGTGATAATTTTAGTTTTCACAATGAACCACCTGTCAGCATGAGCAAAAATGGATTTATGGCAGTCACCAAAATCTAAACCCCATATCTTCAAGTTTTTGTCTGCCGAGCCACTAACAATCAAATCTCCGTCTGAGGAAATATCCATGCACAGCACAGGTAACTTGTGACCATATAATGAGAGGAAAAATTTGAGTGAATCCATAAAGAAGACCTGAAAGAGTTCATAAAATTGCATACAATAATTAGTGGCAGATGCAAAATAGTATCTTTGGCTTTCAAAAGCATACTTGTACCCATATGCAACAACACCAACTCATATTCATGATTACATTGGACGCAATATTAAAAGGAAATTAATACATTAATGAAAAGAAGAAAAAAATACATTTAAGGAAAAACATAAGAGGGGAAATGAATTATGCTCCATCCCCGATAATTTAATTCACCATTCCTAGAACTGTCTTTATAATAAAAGTCACAAGTTAATGAAGGAATGATGCAGGAAAGAAAGCAGAAGGTGATGAGAAGACAAAGAAATGTGATGTGAAAAAGAGAAAGAGTGGAGAAGGGGATGACAACACATAACGAAAAGGGTTGAGAAAGTCACAAGTTAATGAAGGAGTGATGCAGGAAAGAAAGCAGACGGTGATGAGAAGACAAAGAAATGTGATGTGAAAAGAGAAAGAGTGGAGAAGGGGATGACAACACACAACGAAAAGGGTTGAGAAGAGCAACCACAAAGGAGAGAGCTCTCTGAAACTCACAATAATCCTCAAATGAAGTCTGAAAAAAATTCTGTTACTTTTATAGGCAACAAACTAAAACCCTAAAAAGTTAAGGAAAACAAAATACCAAAACTTTAAAAATGAAAATACCAAAAAAGTCTTTGTAAATATCCATATGCCTATGCCTATTGTAGGCCCATCCTGACTTCCGTTAAGGAGATTTAGGAGCATCCAAGAAATCAGCTAATTCAAGTGCAGACACTTTGAAGATATATCAAACAAATATTTGGAAGTGTCAATGTCCGACACTTGTCAAACGTGGATAAACTGATAAAGCTCCTTATTAGAAGTGTTTGTGCTTCTTAGATGGGGGGATGGTAGAGGTACACCAGGAAAATAGAAGATGCTCTATCTTGTTGTCTGGTTCAGTAAGAAAGAAATGCAAATTAAAAGACTGTACTGAGTTATTTGTATTGTTTAAAAATAAAAATAAAAATAAAAAAGTAAATATAACTTTTTGAGGGGAAAAATACTGTTCACTTTTGGGCAGAAGCAAAATCCATTAGGATGAGATGGAGTCCCTCCCTCCTCCCTTTGTTTCCCTCTCCCCTCCGTTAAACAGCTCTTACTTACTTCCCTTTTCCCTCCCCCTTTCCTATCCTCCATTCTTCCCCTAACCATACACATTGTAGACCAACGTTAAAACAAGATACAGATCCATTAGGCATATAGAACAGGCAAGGAGCCATGGTGTGCCATGTAATCTGCAACGTGGCACAACAGAGGTAAGGTCACGTAGTGACAATTAAAGTACGATGAGGTAGTTCTCATAATAAGAATTGTTCTCTTTTAACCCATAGACAAATGATGAAGGCTCATATCATTAAAATACACATTGTCCGCTCCAATTGGAAGCTTAATCATATCAGACTACTGATCTAACTATATACTTTTTATAACTTAATCTATTGATGCATTATTTACTTTTCCTATTATTCATATCCTAAATGATATCTTTAAAGAAATCTCTGGAGAAGTAATTCTTGATGTTTTTGTCTTTTTTTAGATTAATTTTTTTTTTTATAAGTGTCTTTTTTAGAATTTAAGGAAATAACTAGAAGCAACTTTTGGATCACTCAACTTATTGTTTCGACACCAACAAGGGTTGTAACCCGGTGTTATCTCCTCTACCTCCCAAAGTAGAAGGTTGAGGGTCCAAGTTCCTATAGGGGGTATAGTAGGAGGATGTGTTATTTGCCAGGGGCAAAAAAAAAATTGTTTAGACATAATTGTTCAACTTCGGAACATCTGTTATAAAGCCTCAATTGATAGGGTCTGGGAACTCTGGACCAAACTCAACGTTGCTGCCATCTTGAAATAGATGGGCTACTTTATTTAAATATCTTTATCTATTATTATGTGTCAGGTTGATATTGTAGACCCAATATGAGAAGAAATGAAAGAAATTAGAAATTTCTGCAATCAATAAATTTAACCATACAGCTTAAGCATATCAAAATTTACATCATAAGATTCTTTTTTTTTTTTTGATAAGTAAAATTTACATCATAAGATTCAATCCACAAATCAATATAGTAGAGGAATTTATATACTAAAAATATAATACAATTGATATTAGACAAATAAAAACACTTTATTTCACTCCTTTTTAAGAAGTCCAATTTGACAAATGAAAGAATACCTCATTTTGTTTCTTAGCAATAATTTTGAATCCAAAAATACATTCAATGGATAAAGAGTACAACGAATCTTCCTATTAGATAAGGTTACAAGAAGTCAATCTGACCTTCACTGTGCAATCCAACAGGGCAACAACAATATACTTGGCATCAGGACTAACAGCAATTACTAGTACATCATCATTCATTTTAATATTCCTCACATGAGATACTGTTAGTTGCTTAGAATCCTGGGAAAAAAAAAAAAAGAAAAAAAAAACACAATCAACTTAATATTACTAACAAAACAAAATGAAGGTCTCTGTGTTTAGCAGTTACAGGCACGTGTTTTGGCTTTGAACTGCCAGCACATAGTATATTAATGAAAGCTAATATATACACACACACACACATATATATATATAGAGAGAGAGAAAAGGATTAAGGTTAATATGCAAAGTTAAGGAAGAACCGCATTTGCAACTTCTAGAATGTCATTACGTAAGCAGATCATAAATCAATAATGAGCATTTTACTGGGGGAAAAAAAATCAATAATGAGCACTCTTTGGCTTGAAAAAGTATGCAAACTTCATAAAACAGCAACAAGTAGACAACTGAAGATGCAACATTAAAGTTACATGTATCTACCTACTCTGAAGCTGACTATGAATATACTCCCAACTATGTCGAAATGACACAACCACTAGCAACTAACATGCAAGGAATTATTTTTTAGTTTACGCATTATCAACTTAATAATTTCAGGAAACAGAGGTAGAAGACAACAACGTCCAGATGAACCCGCATCTTCACGATCCAGTATCTTTAACCATATGATGGATAAGAAGAATAAGTGTCATAGTGTCATATGCAAGTAGACGTTGTTCATGAAAAGGATTTTCAAATTGGTAATATTTATCAAGCAATATTTGATGTGGGATAGTACACCAGTACTTAGAAGGATTCCCCATCCACCATGAATTGTACTCTTCATCAACCTATAATACCCTTCACATTTCATCAAAGAAAAATAAATAATGAATGGCAAAATCCTAAAAGTCTTAAAACTCACAACACACACACACACACACAGATGAATCAATGATTAGAGAGTCCACGTGTAATTACAACTCTCTATGAAATGTAGATTCTTCCTCTCCAGAGCCCCGACCAGTCTTAACTGGAAAGCTTTCAGACCCGTGTGAGCAAATTATACCAGCAACTTGCTGTGCCGTGTCAACCTGCTTTTTTTAAAAAAGTTAAAATGGTAGGGGCATTCAAACAAACACAAAGGAGTACAAGTTCTCAAACGAACAGCAAATTCTTCAAAAAAAAAAAAAGAAAGAAGAAGCCATCATCATTCCACATTATGTCGCATGAAAAGAATAGTTTCATAGTATGATATGCTCATAAAATTTATCCATATGACGAGAGAGAGAGAGTTTAAAGAACACACTCGACCAGGTTTCTGCACAGTCTGATACTCCCAGAACTTAACATCATGATCTGTACTCCCAGTGACAAAACCATTTTCATCTGGAGTTGCCACAATAGACTGAACAGCACCACCATGAGCTTCTACTACTTCCATGCAAGTACCACTTTGAACATCAACAATTTCTAGAGACCCACCTTTTGTACCAACGATAGCATACTTGTTCCCAGGAACAAATAAACTACACAATCCATATCCTGAATCAATAGTTCGAAGGCAGGAACCAGTACTTGGATTCCATATTTTTACAGCATTGTGACTAGTTGACATTAGAAGAGTGTTATCTGAGCTAAGTGTAACACTTCTGACATCTGCACGATGTCCCTGGAGCTCAATAGCAACGGTTTTTGTGGTTGAACTGCTTTCAATAGAATAAATTTCCAATAAATTATTGTTCAAAGACAATGCTAAAGTTGCCAGCGAGTTCTTAGGATTGATCGGACAGAAAGAAATAGAGGATATCTTCTTGCTAGCTCTTACAGTCTGAAGAAGCTTAAAAACATCAGGTACTGTAACAACAGGAATATTGGCTTCTTCTCCAGCTCCTTGATTTGCATCTCCATTTTCAGTTACCTCAACTGCTCCTTTAGTGGATTTCTTCTCCTTCTTCCTATTAATTCTCCTTTTTGCTTTACGCTTGGATTCAGCCTCATCCAACATACAGAATATCTCTACCATCTTACCTGCAACTTGACAAGCCAACAGATTTCCAGACTTACTGAACCTCACAGTTGCAACTCTATCCTTGCTCTGTCGCTGAATTTCACCAAACTGCTTCAAGACTTCCCATTTGCTTTGAGTGGATGAATCCCCACCATTCACATTAATAACTTCTGTTCCATTTATATTAGACAGAGACTGTCCATCTACCAAGTCATGCTTTACCATGTAAAACCGAAGCTCCGGATCTGCCGACCCAGTGACCAAATATCTTTCCTCGGGGTCAGCATCTATTGACCAAATTTCACTATGATGACCACCAATAATCTGAACACAATGTTGAGTCTCAAGATCCCAAACCCTCAAAAACTTGTCCTTGGAGGAGCTAACAAGTTTTTTACCAGCATCCAAGAAGACAAGATCTGTAACCTAATACAAGAAAAATGAGAAGAATCACAACATTGCAGATGGAGGTTAAAAATAGCAGCAAGAATAGCCAGTTCTTATTAAGATTCAAAGGTTTTACTGAAATACTCATAAATATAAACCTGGTCACGGTGCCCACGAAGCCGAAAAAGTCCAGTCTCACCGACCACATCCCATAATATAATATCATTATCTTTGCTTCCAGATGCAAGCAAGGATCCAAGCTTGTTGTACCGAAGGGCAACTGTGGCCCCTTTATGTCCATTCAATGTGGTTTCACATGTTCCTTTATCACAATCCCAAATTCTTATACTACCATCAGCATACCCACTTGCTATCTGCAACCAAAACCATTTGTCACCTACTCATCAATTAACAAAATCATAAAAATAAGAAAATAAAAAACAACAGCCTCTGCATCAAACACTCAATTCAAATACAAAACAAAACAAAAAACACACACACACAAATGCACCCGATTCTTATTGCCTGATCTATTTACTTCATTTGGTTGCTGAGAAACTCAGGAAAGTTAAAACTCACCCAAAAAGAAAAAAGCAAAAACAAATTTAGAACTTTCACTAACACCTCCATCTCAACTGATACAAAATCTAAGGGCATTGGGCGCCCAGATTTAGAATGGGCCAAATTCACAAGTTAATTAGCATTCTGATGTAAATTTTCATCAACTTGAGTGGAGTCACTTGAGAATAGGTAACTTCACCATATTTCCTATGGCCGATTGAGAATTTCTTCAAACAAAAGAATCCAATATTTTCATCGTCGTCTTTTAGGAGCATACTATTGCCTAAGATATATGCATTCAAGATTATGAACTTACATATTAACACTATTACTCTTATTTTTAAAAATAAAAAAATAAAAAACAACCGTATTACCTTTTTAGACATATACCCCGTATATGTGTGTCCATCAAAAAATAAAAATAAAATAAAATAAAGGTTGAGTTCATAAAGAACTTTTTCCCTGTAGGTTAATGTGTAAAGAAATGACTCAAAACTAGTCAAAGTCCATTAACAAGGGGGAAAGACGAGGATATTCAAAATTATCTCCATTGGTAAACAATAAGCAAAACCCATTCTAAACTCTAGTTGAGTTTGGGCATAGATGACATACAAAGAAGTAACCACGATCAATGCCATACTTTTACTGTTTCTGTAGTTTCCCAATGTTGAATTGGTTTTTAGGTTACATAACAATTCTGCAATATTCTTCTTTTTTCTGTAGCAGATGATTTCTTTTTAATTCTGGATTTTATTACAATTTTAATCAAAATTATAAAAAACTTAACAGCAGACCAAAATTCAAATTTTGCAATTATATCCCTTGAAATCTGATTTCAATCATTTCTGTTACAGCTACCTCCTGAACATCCATTAATAATGGCCTTCACCACCTAACCAGATCATAATTTTTCAGTGATTATCTACCATTCAACAATCTCTTCATACCCATGATCTAAGTTTTTTCTTTATGAGTTTCTACCTATTTTCCATCTTAAAAATAGTAACTTAGTCCAAGGCCTATCCTCGTATCTGTATTTTCTCCAACAAATACTATGTAAAATGTGAATGAATTCATTGGATTGAAAGGAACATCCAAACATTTCCTCAAATCCTTGTGTTTCTTCTGTATTCTCAGCAATTAAACCGAGTGCCAACTCAGTCCTGAGCCAAAAACTTTGGTTCTTTCCTTTCCTCCAATTTCTAAGATAACAAATGGAAGGTATCCCTAATATCGTGTGTATGTTTAATTAAGTGAGAACACGCGCGCGCATACACACAACACACGTGTATATATATATACATAATGAAAGAATAGAGAGGGAAAGGGGGTGTACCAGAGAGGAAGGAGAGGAAGCAATGGAGGTGACCGCAAGAGATGGACCGCGAGACGAAGGAGAAGGTGCTAGGGTTTTGGTACAAGCGCCTTGCCGGACGTTCCAAAGGCCGACCTTTTCGAGAGCTGGTGCGAGGAGGTGCTTGCCGGAGCTGTCGTAGGTAATGTTTGAATCAACGGAGGCGATAACTCCAAACGCCGCCGCCGGCTCGTATCGGAGGTACGACTTCACCATTGCTACACTCGCTCTTTCCGGCGGAGCTTTTGCCGCGGTTCAAGTATAAGGAATTCGGAATACTAGGGTTTAAGGGTTAAAGTGGGGTTTGACCCTTTCTTATTTTTCTCGCGCAATTTGGGTTTTGCAGGTTTTGCTTCTCTTGTACGTGGTACTACTAAATTTTGTTTATAGTTTTGTGTACAGTATTATTATTCTCTTACTGTTACAATTTGTGCAAGCCAACGTAGACTAGACCGTACTTGGGGTTGAGCTGGGTAGCCTAGTAAGAGTCACATGTGTGGGGTTTTAGGTTCAACTTACCCAACTTTTTTTGGGTCCTCTTTCTCCTCCTCCTCATTAGGTATAAAAAATCAAAAAATAAAATATGCTTGTATTTAAAAAATATATATCTAGTTGTGCTTAGCAAAAAATTATACGTACCTTGATAATAAAAAATGAAATGTTGTAATCAGACGAGAGTATTTAGCAATCACTACTTCAAATATCAAATAATTTTTCGTACTCAAAACATCCGTCATGACTTTCTCTTCTATTAATAAAGAGATGTGATTGGACTATTTTTATTGTTTTATATATATATATTTTTTTCCCAAAAAAACGTGTGGTTTTTAGAGTGAGAAACTAGGGAGAGAGACCAAAAAAATAGTATAAACTATTAGTTCGCCACAATGCTCACCAGCCTCACTCTCTACCTCGAGCTTGCGCCAATCCCTTTGGCTCGTTAAAGAAAGAACTCCTCCAACACAAAAAATATCTCATACCAAATGGCCTTTACCATTTTTGCAATAAAAATTGACTTTGGATTCAAACTTAAAACTTAATTTGTGTTGACATTGAGTTGAGGTGTCTCAACCCAAGTTAAATTTCTACTTTTTATATATTTATACTTTTGAATGTATTACATATATTTTTTAAATCATGATCCAATTTTTTAAAATCTTAATTTAATATATATTAGTAACCATTTGGAAAATTAATATCCTGATTTTTTTAATATTTTTTCAGAAATTCACATTCAATTTTGTAAATTTCTTTTTAAATGAATGTGTGTTATCTAAACGAAACCAACCCAACATCAAGCCGATTTTTGACCCGAGCTTTTTAACTCGGGCTTAATGGCAAGTTAGAAAATGTGAATGTTGGGCTAGAGACTAGAATGGAGAACTTGGCCGGGCCTATGATCGCTTTGTCCGCTGATATGGTCAGGCCTTCATCCTAGTTGAGTCGGTTAAAGTCAACCAAAATGCACTTTTGGACTCAAACTTGGGCTGAACATGTCTGAGTCATTGACGCACTATTAAAGTCTATGAGCTGGACCCATTTAGCCCCCTCTCTTGAAACAAATGCCCATTACGCATGCTAATTGCTAAGAAGTCAACCTCAAGTCACATAATTCTTCTAACCTACTGAGTCCTATCTTCTCGCTTGCTCTCACGAGCTATGCATGCTCTTGCTTTTGATCTCACTATATGTAACTTAGATTTTACCCTTTTTTTCGCTCCCGCTCTCTTGCATTCAACCACACATCACTCTATGTGACTTAGATTAGAACCATACTAGTACATTCTCACCAATCACCAATAGTCAACATTGGACTCAAAATGTTGGTGTAGGGCCCACTACAATGGTCCACATTAGTTGTCCACTCTCCACAAATTTAAAATTTTTCATTCAATTAATATTATCTTAACATAGACACAATAAGTTAGGATTGTGAAAAGCTTCAATCAAAAGGGCATAAACAAATTTATGAAAGTCCACACCATAAATTTTAGTAATCTCATACTCTCAGCTAACTAAATGAGAATATCAACTATATCAAATAAATGAAATAAAAAAGGACTTCAAATAACAAAAGTCCCTGGTGGAAGTATTACCATTTACCAACTTCTCAATTAGCTAAAGAAAAGGCCAAAACAAAATGGACTGCCATATATACAGAGACACATTATTTGAACATTGAAATTGAATATGTTTTAATCATGAACGGCCTGCAACAGCACAAAGCACTGATACCCCCCCCCCCCCCCCCCCAACGTTAGTTACCATTTATGGTTGGTGACAACTGTAAACACCAAATCTTCAAGCATGGGAGATGAGACAGGGCAGATCTATACGTGGCTCCATTTTTCTTCATTCCAATTATTTATATATATATATATATATATATATATCTCTCTGTGTGTGCGCGCGCGTGTGTGACATAACCATTTCAATCGGTTTGTTTGGACTTCTTAAAAAAATTTGGAAATATTACAATAAACTCTTTTATAGGGATGGCTTTTTCTTCCAATTTTGTGGGTTTTCGCCCGTTCTTAATTGGGCGAATTTGATAGCACTTTAAATAGGTTTGTAATGAATATGGTAAAATAATTTAAAACCCGAACCGAGTTTGGAACCCGGGGGTGGGGGGACCAACCTTTAAAATTACACTTCCAATAAAGTAACAAGTGTTTTAAAAATATTAAATATTTATATTATATATATAATATAATTTATTAGCCCAATTTGAGCACATTAAGCTAGTTTTTTTTTTTTTTTTTTTTTTTTTTACATAATAAAATTGGCATAACCCGGTCCACCCCGCAATTAAACGGAATATACGGGACGGAGTTGGCATTTTGTCTAACAGAGTAGGGGTGGAGATGATAGTATCATTTACAAAGCCATCTCAAAATAGGGGCGAAGTTTACATGACTGATTTTTTAACGTGACAGAGTAGGGTGTAGCCAAACCCATTCAACCTTGCCCCATTGTCATCCTTATTCCTATTTGTATTCATAAAATTGGACAGAATATCATCATTTACTAGTTTTAGTGTACAAAGTTTCTAGAATGTACGACTAAAAATGACAAAATGTTTTGTATATAACTTAATAATTTACCATGTTATTTTGATCATTAATCAAATTTTGTCACTTGTTTACAGAACTGAAATTTACATGTAAATATAAAAATAGCTCATGACAAAATATTTTGTATATAATTTAATATTTTATGTCGTTATTGATCATTAATTAATTTTGTTCACTTGTTCACCAAACTAGAGTGTACACGTAAATATAAAAATAGCATATATTGGTGGGATCTTGTCGATGTTGGCCAATGACAAAAAAACCGAAGCTATTAATTAAACTATAGTCTAAATGAGCTTGCTAGACATAAAACTATATTCTAATTTGGGAAAACGACAATTGAGTATGACATCGAAACACATTAATCTTTAAAAGAACCTTGCATGCGTGGGTCATTAAGATAATAAAGTCAGTCATAAAAAAAATAAGCATATAATTATAAATTTAGTTAGTGAGATTAATAGACAGATCACTATTCACTATATTGTTATATAGGGATAGTGTGTGTATATTTTAGAGAGGGAGGGAAACTAATAAAAATGGAGTGGCGGTGGAATGGTCGGCTGCCGGAATGAGACAACATGGCCAAGTTGGGAAGGGATCTGGAAACTTCGATAGGGACAAGATTCCTAGTCCAATGTGTTGGATAGATTAGCTTAAATAAAGAGTCATTTACCGACTTTCGTATCTTTCCAATCGTGCATCTCTCTCAATCACAATTATTAAGTTGAAAATTGGAGTAATGTGTACTGTGAAAAATACAAAATGCCAACAAGCGTCGGTACTTGATTCGTTGAATCGGGTGAATTCCACAGTTCACACAAAAATTACGCAATGTATAATCAACTAGACAAATATCTGTTTCCTGTCGTGACCGCAATGCTATTGAGACCGAAGTCTTTAACAGAATGTACGTGGATCACCGTCTCTTTTGCCAATTTTGACCTAAATTAGGAATGGCAATTTTTTTCAACCCGTGAATATTCGTCTTGCCCTCGTCCCTAATGGGATGGATTTGGTATTCTCTTAAATAAGTTTGTGACGAATATGGTAAAATAATTAAAAATCCGAAACGGGTTTGAGGCGGAGGCGGAGGCGGAGGCGGATTTAGTGATGAACCCGTTCCGACTCTGTCCTGATTATATATCTACCTTTTAATTTTTTTTTTAATATATTTAATAATTTTGAGACTCTTATCACTTTGCTGGAAGTATCCGTTAATATATTAATATTTATTATTTAGTAATTTAAAAGTTTGATTAACTTATTTATCAACCCAATTTGAATACATTGGGCTAACTTTTTTTTTACTACATAATAAAAGTGGCATAACGCGACTCGCCTCCTGCTGCGCCCAGCAATTAAATGACGTGCATGGGGCGGAGTTGGCACTTTGTCTATCGAAATAGGAGTGAAGATGGTATAACAATTATAAACCCATTCCGGAGTAGGGGTGGAGTTGGTCTAACAGATTTTCTAATAGGATGGAGGAGGGTTTAGCCAAACCTGTTTCAACTCTACCCCATTGCCATCCCTAACCTAAATATTTTTATATCCTTTACGAATATATAACTAGATGATGAGTAAAACCAAAACAGAAGCCGGCTTTATTTATGGCCTATGATGTAACACAGTAAAACACAAAAGTTAAGGATGCCTTTATAGTAACGTTTTCATTTTTTATTTTTGCAGTCTTAAGAAAGCAGAAACATAATTTTGTTTTACTGAATGACAAAAAGCAAAAGTGACGTTTATTAACATTTGTTGTTATCATAATTTTAAAAACAAAAAACAATAACAATGTTTAATAATAAATATTTGTTACAACGTACATAACATTTTTTTATTATTTTATTTTATTCTTCATTTTTTTTCATTAGTACCAAAAAACATTAAATATGTATGCAATTCAATTAATTAACACATATTAAAAATACCAAATACAAGATAATAAGATATAATATTCAATTTTTTTTCCCTAATTGCTACTCACACGCACTTGCCTCCATTGAACCCCTGACCTCCCATTGGGAAGTAGGGGCTTGGTACCGCTAGGCCACAAGCCTGTTAATTAAAGTATTCAATTTAAAATCACAAATCCTAATAATATCCAATACATAAGTACAAAATAAGATATATTAGGACAAAAATACTCACACCAATTATGTATATAAGTTCATGCATATACATCATTTATACATTTATTATATAATATATTTAACATATAGTATATTATAATAAATAAATAAAAATATTAAATAATATATCTATAATATAATATAGATATGGTTGTTGCATAATAATTTAATAATATTATATAAAATAAATAATAAATATAAAAAAATAATAAATTTGTCCCCAAAAATAATTTATAGTA